AGAGTGCTCCTATATAGTAAGTGGAGCTGATAAAATGGACAATGAGCATAGAAACAAAGATACAAAGTCATAATGTTATGCCTGATTGGTGTACAGATAGCAGCGATATATATATATATATTTGTCATATATATATCTTATACATACATGCAAGCACCTTTTTGTAATAATGTCCCATATTTTATTTATGTAATACAAACCTCAATTCAGTTTATCTAAAATTAATGCTACCACCATATTCCAAAAAAGTTGAGACAGGCACAATTTAGGACTACAACACTTACCTGTCCACACTTGTCTCCAACTGAAACATGAGGTGCATTATGAAGTGCAAAATATAACAGTGACGTCCCAGTAAGACTGAAACTTTGTTTACTTCTCACCATATGACTTCTCATTCTATCCCAACATTTTTGGAGTTGAGGCCAAAGAGCGAGCAAAACATGTGCAGTGGGCAGCCTGAAGAAATGCACCAGAAAGAAAGAAAGTGACCCAGCCGAAGCTTCACAGAGACACTGTGGCAGTACAGATCACAGAGACACTATTTCAGTTAGAGATAATGATATTTCTCTGCCTCACTCTTACTTCACTGTCACACACATACACACACAACTGCAAGATTAGTTTGGAGTGACCCCACTTCATCCATCTGTCTGAGAGGGTCTGGTGTTGTTGACAAGGTCACTTCCTTCCCTGCAACCTTAGATGAAGCAAGATATGAGAGAGTGAGAGAGAGAGAAATAGAAGGACCATCAACACAAACATCTGAAGGAACGCTGTCTACAATCCCAGGCCAGGCTGCAAAGATCACAGACCCGCAGAGCCTCTTTTCAAACAGTGACTTTTCCTCAAACTAAATCTGCCTGGCTTTAAAATCATTAAGCGTCCCTCTTTCTACTCTCCCCTTATAAAACTAGCATAGAGCCAATTAGGCATGAAGAAGATGACGCTCTCTCTCTCTTTCTAAGATATGAGAAAGACTTGTTCCTCCCTTTAATGATAATTCTCTCTGTGGTCTCAGTAGATTTGGGGTCTAATGAGCTCTGGATTAGCCCGCTAATCATTAACATCATTTATGTGACTATGGCACGTATGCAGGCAGAGTGGAGCAGCCACTCTTAATACGAGTAATGTCCATACTGAGGTCGTCACATTGGGCCGATGAGGAGCTTTAAAGGTCCCACATTGTACAAAAGATGGTTCTTTAGTAAAGTAAATGGTTCTATAAGGAACCATGAACGCTCAAAGAACACTTTGCCTGATTAAAGGGCTTATTGCATCATGAAAGGATTCTTAAGAATGTGCTGTAGATGGTTCTATATAGAACCTTTTCAAAAAGGTCCTGTATAGCACCCAAAAGGGTTCCTCTATTGTTAAAATGTCATGTAATATTATAAGAACCCATTGGTGCTATATCGAATCCTTTTCAAGAAGGTTCTATATAAGCCCATCTACAGCACATTCTCTATCAATCTATAGAACCCTTTCATGATGCAATGAACTCTTTAACCATGCAAAGCATTCTTTGAGCGTTCATAGTTCTTCATAAAATCATTTTCGGTAACACTTTCTATGAATGTCACCTTTGTAAGCATCTATAAACACATTCATAACATGTTATAATGCATTTGTAAGACATTATAAACATAGCTATAAATATTTATAAAAATGCATTACACCTTATAGCCATGTTTATTATGCATTATGAATTGTTAACATAATACATTATAAGTACTGATCATAACATATTATAAGAGCTCGTAAGTCGTATCTGCTCTAAGTAAAGTGAAGCGTACTGTACTAAAGCCTCCTCCAGTGTTAAGAGTGAGGCTTCAAGTTGAAGTATTTACTGAAGGATTTACTGAAACACTAAAACATTCACAGTAAAGCACATTACAGGCTTCAAATGTCAGAGTTTAAACTAGAGCTGCCATCAGTGTTTTACCCAATGTGGGAAAGGTAATGTACACCACCGTTAGCTTGGTATTTGTCTTTACGCTCTCCAAGCTGGGACTGACTTCTTTGGCACTGACATTATAACATGTTATTAACACTATTTATAATGCATTATATTAACAATTCATAATGTATAATAAACATGGCTATAAAGTGTAATTCAGTGTAATTCGTTTTTATAAATATTTATAACCATGTTTATAATACCTTATGAATACATTATAACGTATGTTATAAATGTGTTTATAGATGCTTACAAAGGTGACATTCATAGAAAGTGTTACCCCATTTTCTTTACTAAAGAACCTCTGAGGAACCATCTGTTTCAGAGTAAAAAATGTTATGTAGTAAAAAATCGTTCTATATAGAGCTATAAACACTCAAAGAACCATTTTCATGACTAAAGGGCTCTTCACATTGATAGAGAATGCACTGTATATGGCTCTATATAGAATCTTTTTGAAAAGGTTCTGTATAGCACCCAAAAGTGTTCTTCTATTGTTAAGATGTCATGCTTGTGACAATAGAAAAACCCTTTTGGTGCTACATAGAATCTTTTTCAAGAAGGTTCTATACATAACCATCTACAGCACATTCTCCATCAATCTGAAGAACCCACTTATGATGCAAAGACCCTTTACGCATGCTAAGCGTTCTTTGAATGGATCTTCATAGAACTATTTTCTTAACCAAATAACCCTTTAAGAGCCGTCTTTTATAGTGTAGTAAAGAAAACGGTTCTAAAAAGAATGTGCTGTATAGGGTTCTTCTATTGTTAGAAGCTTGATATTGTCTGAATAGCAGAACACTTTTTGGTGGAATATAGAACACTTTTCAAAAAGGTTAGAAATAGAACCATCTACAGCACATTCTTCATCAATCTGAAGAATCCTTTCATGATGCAAAGAATGCTTTAATCTTGCAAAGGGTTCTTTGAGTTTTCATGGTTCTATATAGAACCATTTTCTTAACTAAATAACCCTTGAAGAGTCATCTTTTTAAAGTGTAGTAAAAAAATGGTTCTATATAGAACCATGAACACTCAACGAACCATTTGCATGATTGCAGTGCTGTAGATGGTTTTATACAGAAGTTTTTTTTTTTAAAAAGAGTTTGTGTATTGTTACAAGATTGATATCATTGCAATAACAGAACCCTTTTTGGTGCTATGTAGTACCATAGTAATACAGCACATTCTCACATTTGTGGAGGGTATTGTAGGTGAGGTTCCATTGAGTCATATATATTGCACCGGGCCTGGCCCACTGAATGCAGTCTTGAAAATGAAAACATTGTGAACATTAAATCCTGTTTTACTTTCTTAAAGTAATGTTGCTCATAAATTAACTTTTTACAATCTTTACAGTGAAAAGAGATCAATTGATTTTCACTCTCCCATCCATAAAAGTAAACTGTCACATCAAAACAGAGAGCTATTTCTATAAGAATAGCAGAATAAGGATTCCAAAAAATGGGGTTTGTAATGACCAGTGCAGGACTATATTTGTATGAAGTCAGTAATTAAGAACAAAGTGCTCAGAAAATAAGATTTCTCTTCTTTCTCTTCTACATCTCTTGTTTAGTAACTGCAGTGCTTGGAGATGTATTCATTCGTGTGGGAAGCACAACAGAAACTCTTGACCTCCTCTTTGTCCACCAGTGGAGAAAAAGAGTATTGCTTGTCTGTCCCTGATACTACAGTGGCCAGAACATCAGGGGTGAGATGACATTTGACCCAGCACTTCTCAAAGCACTGGGGCAATGCACCACCACTTTTTATTGAGTTCAGATCACTTAAAAAAAAAGAGAAAACAAAAAAAGTGTTTTGAACTAAATCAAAACTGTAATGCCCACTGCAAAATGATTGAGAACAGTTGTTGGGCATGTCATACACTACTGACCTGTCGAGTTTGGCTTTGTTCTAGCATTTCTACGCCCATTGACAGTGGATCAGATATTGAATGTTGTTGAATCTCTGGTTTCCCAAAAACTACAATAAAAAGTCATAGGTCATTGGAAAGGGGGCAAAATGCCCTATAATCCAGTAAAGTTTGGAGTTGGTTACTCTTATTTTCGCCCAGTTATGGCACTCTAAATTTCTCAGGCTCTCTGGACCTCCACCACAGGCTAGCCCGCCTCAGGTGTCCTTATGTGGTATTCAAATTCTGAGGGCTGTATCTCAGGCTCACTGAAAGCTAGCAATGCAATCCTTTGGAAAGGGGTTAGCTCCACTCTTGTGGAATTTGGCGTCATCATGGATTATGAAAGTTGGATTTTTAAAGTTGCTTGTTGCAAAACATTCCCGTCTCTTGTGGTTTTATTCATGATATCATCAATGATTACTTTCACTGCATTAATGTTGACTTTAAAAAATCTGAAGTTGTGCAAACCCTACATTGTACAGACCTGGGAGAATAAAAAACAAAATATGTGTAAGTTTTGGAAGCGCAACTGATTACATATTCCATTGCTGGAATTTCCTCCACTTCTTAAAACCAGGCACAAATTAGTGCTAATATCTCAAAGGATTGTTATTGTTGTTGGGAAACTTCCTTTAATGATAACAGCAGACACATCAGCTAGACAGAGTGCATGCCTTAAACACTATGATGATAATTATAGCTATTAGAGCCAGATGTCCATACATGAAAAGATGCAAATCTGCCTTGATAAGACCACAATATGCACTTACATTTTATGTTATTGCATTTCCTGGACTGGAGTAGAATTACATCCTTTTAAAACAATTTAGTGGGAAATAATCACCTCATCACTGAACTTTCAGTTTCTGTTTTGTGTCGAACTCGGAGACAGAAGAAAAGAAAATGTCTAAGGTGAGTGGAAAGAATCTCAGCTACTGGAGAAACTGAGTAGAAAAATGCAATTTCTTCATTTTTTTTACCTAACTGATGCAGAACTAGAAAAATTATGTCATGAGGACCCCACCCTGCCCCCCTCCCCTCCGTTATCCTCATGGAGTCGAAAGTGAAAGTGAAATGAGCCTGTATATATGCGGAGGAAAAACTGCAGACACCAGACAGACAGAGGAAGAGACTCAGACCTCAGCATCATTTCTTGTAAAGGTAAGAGCTGCTGTAACTTTGTATAAGAATTTTTAAGATTAAAGAGGTAAAATGTGAATTACTATAACAACACATGTACTGTGTTAGTCATGGCTAAACCTGCCACAGTTTCAAACCTCATAATGTAGCTTTATGTAATTCTGCATTTATCAATTTTCTCATTTTGTCTAGTTAAACACAAGTGCCAGAAAATACAATATACACAGTGCAGACAATACAGTATAATAAATAAATATGAAAAACTTACAATAAAAACAGAACAGAACACAGGCAGTACATGATACTGAGAGTATGTGGAGCTGTGCAAAGGAGGGGGTAAAATAATATGACATATTAGCAGCTTAGCAGATAGCCTAACATATATAAGCATAGCAGTCACTGAGGTAGCAGTCAGAACTATATACAGTATACAGTATTTGGTTGATACAGTAATTCTAGCAGCTAATATTGAAGTAGAATGTGCAAAAAATGCAAGTCAGATATTGTTGTGGAAATAAAAGCTGCAAAAATGCAAGTATTCAGATCTACAGTCATAGCAAGTGAAGTGTTACAGTGAAATGCAGTAACTATAAATGGAAAAACGACCTTACATTCTCCAAAAGTACTGTTGGGTACAATGTAGAATTTATGGTGGGCTACAATGGCAAGCTGCCAGAAACAGCCTCAAAGAGTAATGCTGCCGCCACCACAATTAAAGTTTTTTGGGTTTAGTCTAATATGTAGAATATGTATGTAACTGTGGCCAACCACTTTCTTAAAAATAAAGATGCAAGAAAGCTGCAAAATTTAAGGTGGAATTGAAAACTTGAACATGAAGCTGGAGAATAAAAAGTCAATTTCAGCTTCATGGTAAATGTAGTGCTTGTTAAATTTGCAGCAGACATTAAAATTGCTCTAATAGAAAGAGTTCTGTTTCTTTTGATTAACTACAATGGTGAAAATGGTAAACTGGCCTGGTAAGTTTCTCTAGTAAGACTAGAGTTTAAGTGCTCAGTTATGACTAACTGATGCTATTGATGCTATTCAGATGCCTCTGTAAACTACAACCTCATTTCCAATAAAGTTGGGATGCTGTGCAGAATGTAAATAAAAATAGAATGCAATGATATGCAAATCATGTGAACCACATTTTTAAAGGAAAATACTACGAATACAACATATAAAATGTTGAAACTGAGAAATGTTATTGCTTTTTGAAAAATATATGCCCTTTTTGAATTTGATGCGGACAACACGTTCCAAAAAAGGTGGGACAGGGGCATGTTTACCACTGTGTTTCATCACCTCTTCTTCTAGCAACACTCTGTAAGTGTTTGGGAACTGAGGAGACCGACTACTGTAGTTTTGAAAGTGAAATGTTTTCCCGTTCTTGTTTGATACAGGATTTCAGCTGCTCAACAGTTCAAGGTCTCTTTTGTCGTATTTTTCATTTCATAATATGGCAGGTGTTATCAGTGGGTGACGTATGCAATGTGGTTTTACATTGTCTTGCTGAAATAAGCAAAGCCTTCCCTGAAAAAGACGTCATCTGGATGGCAGCATAAGTTGCCAAAACATGTATATCTCATTCAGCATTAATGTTGCCTTCACAGATATGAATGTCACCCTAGCCATGTGCACTAATGCCCCCCTATACCATCATGAATACTGGCTTTTGAACTGGGCACTGATAACAAGCTAAGCGGTCTTCATCTTGGAGGACAGAGTGTCCATGATTTCCAAAAAGAATTTCAAATGTTGATTTGTCAGACCACAGGACACTTTTCCACTTTGCTTCAGTCCATTTTAAATGAACTCAGGCCCAGAGAAGGTGGCAGCATTTCTGGATCCTGTTCATATATGGTTTCTGGTTTGCATTTTAGAGTTTTAACTTGCTTTTGTGGATGCAGCGACAAACTGCTTTTACAGACAGTGGTTTTCAGAAGTGTTCCTGAGCTCATGCAGTGATTTCCACTACAGAATCATGTCTGTTTTTTAATGCAGTGCCTCCTGAGGACCCAAAGATCACGGCCAGCAAATGCTGGTTTTTGGTCTTGTCCCTTGCATACAGAGATTTCTCCAGATTCTCTGAATCTTTTAATGATATTATGTACTGTAGATGATGAAAAGCAAAAGTTCTTTGCTATTTTGCGTTGAGAAACGTTGTTCTTGAATTGTTGCACTATTTAATCATGCAGTGAACCCCTCTTCATCTTTACTTCTGAAAGACTCAGCCTCTCTGGGATGCTTTTTTATACCCAATCATGTTACTGACCTGTTGCCAATCAACCACCAGGTGTTTTTTTGGCATTACACAACCTTACCAGCCTTTTGTTGCCCCCATCCCAACTTTTTTGAAGCATGCTATTGGCATCAAATTCTAAATGGGCATATGTTTTTAAATTAACAATAAAATTTCTCAGTTTCAACGTTTGATATGTTGTCTTTGTACTATTGTCAACTAAATATAGACTTTAAATGATTTGCGCATCATTGCATTTTGTTTTTATTAACATTTTGCACAGCATCCCAACTTTTTTGGAAATAGGGTTGTAGAAAAAGTCAAACATAAGCATAGTAACAGACATTTGACGACATGACTATGATGTATTAAATTTACTTTAGATGCAGTTTTCTCTACAGTCTCGAGTCTGACTTGAGCCCAAGTTACATGACTTAAGTCCACACCTCTGGCTATAACAGGGTGCAATTTCAGAGAGGATGGAAGAGGATGTGATGTGATATCACCTACTGAACTCTTGAAGATTAAGTGGCAAGAAAAGATTTTTAATTTTCTTTTTCCAATATGTTAAACTCTCCAAATACATAGAAATCATGCATTAACACTGGCAGAAAATTGTCAAATTTAAGTGTATTCTTTGTAGAGGATGTGTTTCACTTATTTTCACTGAGAAAATCAACAAAGCGTATAATTGAACCATGGACAACCAAATTAGAGCAAACCCTAGTCAAAAGTTTTGCTATTTTAGAGAATTACTGACTGCAGTAAAAGAAAAAGTACCTTTCCAAAAACATGAGTAGACATCCAAAAGTAGCACCCCAAAAAGTTACTTTAGAACTGGGTAACTTATAGAACTGCAGTGGAACTACATAGCAAATCCAGCATCTATCAGCATTGAAACTGAAATTTGTTTGGTGCTATTCTTCTTTTTGGGAGCCTTTGGTCTAAAACAAAATGCTAAAGCTCAAAAGTCAAACGTGTAACCACATGGAACTCAGCACAGATACTGTCACCAACAGCAAAACAAAAGCAACTAAATATTAATGACATTAAGATATTTTGTTAGAAGTAAAAATGTGTGTAGAAACAAGACCTTCCAATCTAATTCCATTTCTATTTCTGTTACCATTTTTACTTCTTATGCATTTGTGTAAAATTGCAGAGTTACAGATTCGATATATGATGATCAATATTTTTTTTTAGTTCCAGACATTCAAACATGGGAGCATCTGAAAGCAGCCCTGGTGAGTTTAAATGATCCAATCCAAATAAGACAGCATTCATAAGGCCACAGGACTCCTACATAAGCTTTTCATGAGAACTGACATAACCATATATAAATGTTTGAAGTATTTTGGTTGTGACAATTTCACCTAATTTTGAGAACTAAAAAACTAGTCAGTACATGATTAGCAAACATTGCTTTGAACAGTTGTACACATAAAATCCTAACATTTTTCATCAAAACACAAAAAAGTTTACTTAATTGCAGAAAATATGTGTTTCAGTACTGACCATTTTTAATGTTTCACACTGATTTTCAGACTTTGCGACAAATTTATGTAAAACAATGGGATCTCCCTGCTCACCACGTGGCAATAACGATAACACCAAATCAGTCACTGTTACATTTATTCAGTGAATGTTTAACCAGAACAAAATAGTAATCTTATTATCTGGTTAAACACATTTCAAAGAAATTTAAAATGTATACATTTATCCACTTAAAGTTTTGGTATTTTTTGGGTCAATTACAATTAAAATTGCAATTATAAAGTATTTACATGTGACAGTCACACATGCCATATGTTGTTATTTTCAGGAGACCCTGGGCTGCTCAGATATTCCATTGTTTCACATGTAAATGCTAACAGAAAATTGATATCTTTATGAATTTGGGTCATTTCTGATCAAAAATTTATCTAGTGCCTGCCAAATTTTGTATTTTACAGTAGTATCTTTTCCGAAATTGTTAGTCTGGAGTGCCTGTGAGGTGAAAGTGCAATCATTTTGATGGTGATTCATTTTATTGGTTATTATGAGTAAAAATAAACAATTAGCATAAGGCAGACATGTTTTTTTATTGATTTTCTGTCCTTTTGGATTCTCTTGGATAAAACTCTGATAAACAGCAACATTTCCTGTTTTATTAGTATGTTTTTCTAATAATTCCATCCTCCTGTTTTGAATAGAATTTCACTCTGTTATGGCTGATAAACAAGTGAAAGTCGGACAGGATGTTACTCTTCACTGTGAGGTGAACACACGAGAAGTAACAGCAACGTGGGAGAAGAACGGACGCAGCTTGGAATGTGTGGAGGGCAAACACTTGATAAGACAAAGTGGTACATCAATTACCTTGACAATCAAGAATGTTCAACAAGCGGATGGAGGGAGATACACAGTACACCTGAGGAATGTCTCTGGCAGTACCTCATGCTCTGCTATGGTCATTGTTTGTAATTAAGAATTGTGCACCTCAGTGACTAAGTACTTTATTCAAACACTAACAGGCTGCTCACTGTAATCGTCATGGACAGTCATCCACTAAGTCTTTATGGCTCTACCAAGACGTCTTATATCAGAATAAAAAGAATCATGTTTCAAACTGAATTGAGTCATGCTGTCTCCCTCAAGTACTCCAGTCATGCTGTCTCCCTCAAGTACTCCAGTATTATACAACACTGCTTCAGTTATTGCCACCTAGGTATCAGCTGACAGGTGTCAGTCCTGAGTTGTCAGCTATCAGTCATCACTTATGAGATATGAGGTGCCAGTCATCAGTCGTCACTTGTCATGCATCAGTTGTAAGGAATCAGTGGTCAGGTATCAATTTTCAGTCATCAGGTATCACTTTTCAGGTATCAGATATCATCTGTCAGGTATCGGGTGTCAGATATCGGTCATCAGTTATGAGATATCAGTTGTCAAGTATCAGGTATCAGTCATCAGTTGTCAGGTATTAGATATCAGATATCAGTCGCCTGTTTTCAGGTATCAGATTTCCATCGTCAGTTGTCAGTTGCAAAGGTAAGGGTGAAACTTTCATGCATCTAGTACATACATACATACATCATCTAAACCGCTTATCCTTCTGGGTCGCGGTGGGGTGCTGGAGCCTATCCCAGCTGTCATTGGGCGGAAGGCAGAATACACCCTGGACAGGTCGCCAGTCCATCGCAGGGCAGACAGACAGACATACATATACAATCACACACACATTCACACCTAGGGGCAATTCAGCATTTCCAATTGGCCTGACTGCATGTCTTTGGACTGTGGGAGGAAACCGGAGTACCCGGAGGAAACCCACGCAGACACGGGGAGAACATGCAAACTCCACACAGAAGTCGCCCAGCCGGGAATCGAACCCAGGCCCTTCTTGCTGTGAGGCGACAGCGCTACCCACTGCGCCACCGTGCCGCCCATGCATCTAGTAATGTGGTAATAATTTCCATTCAACTTGACAGTTACACAAAGCAACACAGATACAAATAGAGTTGTGTGCAACACAATTTGAGAGGTTTGCAACCCTTGCAGGAGAGTTTCAAATAAGTTGCAGGATGCTTTAATCTTCCTCTAATGCAAGTAAAGCCAGTCTTAGGGATATTAAGGTATGGAAAATGAACCCAAACAGTTGGGTTAGAGCTCAGTCTGGTCTTATACTCTCCATGTAAAAGACGCTAAACAAAATCATTTATAAGAATAGTGCAGAGATGAGGACACAAGTAAGTGACTCAGATTGAAATTGCACTCAAGTTGCATATGCCAAAAGTCACGGGAAAGGAACTTGTATTGTGTAGGACCCCCTCTACACTGCAAAAAAATTTAGCTTGCACAACAGGTACAGAATTTCCCCGATTTTTTTTTGTTCACTCAACTTTTATAATTTATCTGTTATATTGACTGACATTTTTTTGTCAACACTACAAGAAATATTTAGTTGAGCTAAGATGAGTACAACTATTCTTGAGCAAAGCTCTTTGAGCTGTACTGACTTGTACTAATTTTTATTTCTTTGTTTAACAAGCAAGCTTTTTGAAGTTGAGTTAACTAAATGTATTCTTTGGAAATCAGTACTAAGGAATATTAATTTGTGCCATTAAACTTAAAGAACACAGTTAGTGTCCAGCTCTACAGTAAAACCATGAATGTGTAAAGAAATAGAAGAGGTAGTACAACACAGGTGATCACAGCTGAGTAATCAATAATCTGCCACAGTTCTAAGAAAATAATGTTATACATTAAGCTACTATGTACTGTATCACGTCCTCTAAATTTAACAATTCTTAAAGCTCACCTGTGTTCACCAGTATGTGGAAATGAACCGATTACACCAAAAAGCATTTTGAAGCAACTGCTTTAATTGTCAAAACGACTTAAACAGAATTTACAATTCAGAAAAAAATGAGTGAAACATAAGTAAAGAAACAGTTGCAAAGATGTTTACCAAAAAACTACAAACTAAATTGTTGTTGTACTTGATTATGTACAGCTACCTTGTATCTATACTCATTTCCTATTTAATCAGGTCCATTTATTGTATAAGACTGCAAGTTAGGAATACCTTAGAAATGGCCAGTGAGTGCATATGTATGTGTGGGAGAGAGAGACAGAAAGTGAATGAACATCTGAAGCCCACCTCACTGTGCTAAACATACTCGTCCCTTAACAGATGTGGAGGTCTCTGGTCAATTTCTTTGCCACTTGCATCTTGTGAGGTTGGATTCTTCATGGCTATATCAAAAATGAAGAAAAAGTAAGCAAAATTGGTAATAAACACTCACCAGATGAAAAAAACACCAAGAAAAAGAAAAGACATACAGAACAGAATACAAGAAGGAGCATGTTATTGTGAATAACAATGTACTATGTTTTTTCACAACATCACACAATCTTGAAAGCTCTTGCTTTCATGCAACAGTTTTGCAAAATATAGAAAAAAGCAAAGCACGGGAGCCATACCTCTAAATACATCCTAAAATTCATAACACTGGCAATATTTTGAGCTAAAAGATGCAGTAAAACATATAATGAAATCTGTACTAATAATACAAAGAGCAATACTATAAAAAGAACTATCAGTAAAAGCACCTGGGACAAGCTTTAAGTCCTGATCAGTCGAGAACCAGTCAGATGGCTGTAGGAAGAGAGAACATTTGGCAAAATGCTAACTTCAACAACTGAATCAGATGCAGTCATGTTTCTTTTGACTAACTAAACTTATAGAAGCATTCAATCCTCTCAAATCTAGAAAAGACTTCCATACTTAAATTTGCTTCCATACCTGAAAAATACAAATACTTTTTTGTTCCTGACCTTTTCCAGGCTTAGATGGTCAGCGAGGAGCAGGGTGGGCAAAATACAAATACCAACTTGAGTAAAAGCAGAAATTATCTTAGTTAAATATTACCTGTGTAGAGGTATTCAGTCAACATTTTAGCTTGAGTACTTCTAATTTACATATGTATCAGAAGCAAAGGTCTTTATAGAAAATGTTAATTTTGATTAATACTTTCTGTTAAGAAGACTTTGCTATAGACACAAACAGTGAACTCTGATGTCTGCAGCCACACAGGCCTCCTTAACAAATTATATATCAGAATAATATAACTGCAACTGTTAATGTCCATGATCGTATTAAACACATTTCATTATACATAATACACTAAATTCTGTTTCACCATTATCTTCCATCTGCAATGACGTTCACAAATAAAAACATATATAAAATAAAATAACAAATAACCAATAATAGTTTTACAGTTTATGAAAAGGAATTTAAAAAAAAAAGAAAAAGTTGAGAAAACACAATCCGCTGTAGGCGAGATCAGAGGCATCCTCACCAGTCAGAGTTTTAGCGATTTTAAAATGAAAATGAAAAATTCTGGTGCAAATTAGGTTAAACAAAAAAGTTTTATTACCTAGAAACAACATTGTCTCCATCCTTAAAAGCTGGCAGACTCTCGTCCACATTGTACTGAAGGATATTAGTTACCAGTTCTCAACAAAGCAGGCCATAGTTCTCCTTTTTATTTTCCATTAAATCACCTTAAATCTCAATGTTTTCATTCCACAATTTGAGGTGGCACAGAAGTATGAATAAAAGTCAACTTCAGCTTCACGCTGTAAAAAAATTACTTGTCAGTTCAACCTAAAAAAATACTTCATGTGGTAACAATAAAAAAAAAAATATTCAAGCTAAATAAATAATTTGAATGAACGATTCTTTCAATTAATGTAACTTTTTGAGCTGAATAAAATGCTCAGTACCATATGAAGTAATATTTTAAGTTGAACTGATGAACCATTTTTTTGCAAATGAGAACTGTTGAGTACTAAGAAAAACAAACCAGCAACATGTTAAAGAAAGAAATGTATATAAAGCTGCTTCCATACCTGAGAAATGCTGGTGGTAGATGTAAGAGATGTGGAGGTTATTACAAGAACAGTACCAATGTGGTTAAGCCTTAAAGCAACATGAATAGAAGAGAAAACAAAGATTTCACAAACATTAGTCTGATACAGTATTTTCTGTATCAAGTCACTTACAAGTCACTTACAAGTCACTTAGCATCTAGTTACCAAATCATGGCTCAGTTGAAATAATAACTTACCGTTTTAACTGTAACTGCAGCTCCAGAGTAAAGCTGGTCTGTGGTGTGTTACGCCATTAGCCTGCTAGCCAGCAAGCTAACAACCTCACACATCACAGAACCTGGTTATTTTCTCCTTTTCTGTCACGCCAACGCCAGACACTCGACCTCACTTGCTCAGATTTGAGCCTTTATTCGTCGTGGGTTAGGATAAGTTAGCCGGAACTGAGCCGGTCTTCCAGCGGAGCTATTGACTTAGCCTGCTAACGTTAGCTAAGCATGCTCAAATACGTTAGTTAGTTAGCTAACAACTCTAACAAGTGTACACACCAGTTTATTAGACATGGAATATAAATTCGACACCGTTCCAAATTCATTAAAAAAATAATTTCTCATATTATTTTGTGAGAGCACTCATCTAAAAGATGTGACTCCCTAGGCGAGCTACCACAGAAGATAATGGCGAGCTAACTAACTGACTGTTAGCAAACGACACTCATGTTCGTTTTAACATAATGAAGAGTTCAAATTATAGTATTAGGTTTGAGTAAATGTCTGACTGAAAAACTGTTGGTACGTCAAATAAACCAAGCATTTACTTACCAGACATGTTTTGAAGCTTTCCAAAGTTTCCAGAAGCTGCTCTAAGCGCGTGCTTCCCACGGTGGAGCGTTGGTGAGGGCTTGGACCTCAGTACGGGTAGAATCTGCCTCAATACAGGTAGAATCTGCCTTTATTTTTTCCCTAAACATCAGTTGCCGAGTCTTGCCCGTACCCATCCCGATTCCCGTGTGCCAAAACTCTTAGCCGAGACTGCCGCACATCAAACGAGCTCGGGCGACTCTTCATGTTAGCTGGGTTAGTAGCCCGTTAGCATGTTAGCTAGTGTCATCTAGCTAACAGCCATCCTGCTGTGGGAATATAATGTTATAGTTAGCTACTTAGTCCAGCACTGATAATGTACAATATAAACCAAATAGCGTCTGCTAATGGCTGTTTTTTGTGAAGTGTTAACTTTTGCAGCAAAAATGATTTTTATGTGTAGTTTTGTACTATACTGAACGCAGTATAGATTGTTGTGTGGAATTATAATGAATATATTACCATCATAATTAATAAGAAATCCATAATCATATACTAAAAAGTTAATTAACAAAAGTGTATTAATCCTCTCACTAAGTATAGGCCTTGCTGTGTGTAAGCTAGGGGATTTCGCAATGAAAAGTCCCTGAGGTTCAGAAAGTCTCTAGAAGTTAGTGTGCTTTTGTTATGAGGGCAAGCTGACCCCAAAGAGTGAGGTAAGCTGATAGGAAACCAGACGGTATCAGTGTTGGAACCAGTTTAAAAAGACAAAATTTAATTAAAAACCTTGAGAGGATAGGAGTAGCTTGGGACAGCTGAGTATGCAAGTTTTTAAAAAATCAAGGACACGTGCGATCGGAAATAAGGGTTTCCAACTGAAGTGTAAAAATGGGAAATAATGGGAACCAAAGTGAGATGAGAAAAGGTAAAAGGGAGGGGGCGATTGCTTCATCGCCCCCAAACAGGGTATAAAAAATTATGTCTCTGTAATGTACTTTGCATTTGGTTGTCCGGAGGCCATCTTGCCACCTGAAGCTGAATAAAGAAGAGGGCCTTTTCCTTCCTTCAAAAAGAATTCAACGGCTGAAGTCTTTTATTCAACGTTCTTTTATTTTTGACTGAACTTCATTTTATTTTTGCGTTTATGAGAACAAGCAACTGGATTTATTGAAAAACTTAAACATAGTTGTAAAACTGATTAGTTTAATTTCTTTCCATATGTTGGGGCTCTGAGCGAGAGGGAATTGCATTTAGTCCCGACAGTTGAGACAATTAAATCATCATGAGAAAGTTGGGCCAACTGTATTTTTTACATTTGCCTAACATTTAGCGAGTTGGATTTTTTTACAGTGTAGCCCAGCGAAGTGCAGCAACTTGATGTGGCATCGATTCCACATGTGGAGGGAAGATGTCTGAAGGGATGTTGAGTCATGCCATCTGGATAGCCACCCATAGCATTGTGGTATTTATAAGTGTAGGATCTCTGGTGTTAATGGACCTCTCCACCACATCCCATAAACGCTCTACTGGGCTGATGTCGGGTGAACGTGCAGGCCACACCATTCGTCAGAACTCTCCAGAATGCTCATCAAATCAATTCTGGACTCAAACCTCAAAGGTGCTTTTAGTTTCAATTTTTTAGAAATTGGTGCTTCACAAGATAAACCGGTATAAGCATCATGTCCCCCTCCCCTACAATGTGAAAGTCCCCTACAAAGTGAAAGTGAAATGGATGTGTATATATAGACAAGAAGAGCTGCAGACACAGAGCATCACACAGAGAAGGAGAAGGAGACACAGAATCAGCATCACTTCTTACAAAGGTAAGTTAAGCTACATTTGAAAGCAGGGAGTTCTTAAGATTTCAAAATGAGTTCAAAGGTGAATTACTATAAGAGCACATGTACTGTGTTAGTCATGGCTAAACCTGACACACAACCCACATAATGTAGTTTGTGCAATTATGCATTCATCATCATTTCTAGTTTTTGTCTAGTTATTCTTTGCAATCATGAATTCAACAAAAAGTAAGAAATGCAAATGTTCACTGTATGATGTGTGATGGCTCGCTTGCATGACCAGTCAGTAAAGAAGTTAACATATTCTCTAAAATTTATAAATGGCATTTTCCAGCAAATTCAAGAACACAATTTCTATTTATTTGCGTTTATCATATAGGAAAAAAAAAATAAAATACAATAAGATATATAAAATGTGCCAATTATTTTGCACAGGCTACCTTTAAAGTTTTATGTCTCCTAGTATGTTGAATTCAGCAAGTAAAAAAAAACTGTGCATTAACATTTGCATAATTTGACAAATAAACTCTATTTACTCTATTTACTATTTGACAAATAAAAAGTTCTGCCTGGTACAATGTAGAATTCATGTTTGGCTACAGTGACAAGCTGATAGAAATACAGACTGTAATGCTGCCACCACCATGCTTTACATTTTATGATTTTTTTCTTTTGGAAAAGATTTCATTTTTTGTCTAATATTGTCTGTCATTATGGCCAGCAGAATAACTTTTGGTTTCCTAAATAACCTTTCAGTGCATTGTTCTTTAAAAAAATCCTCAATTGAAAGGTTCTTTAGAGGGCCAATATTTATATTGTTAGATTTATAAGCCCATCTCACTGATGTTTTGACAGAGGGGAATGTGAGGGGAAAACACCTGAACTATTTCAGGTTAAACTTGCTGCCATGCCGTCTGTTATCAAGCTTACCTTCTAACAAATGTTCAACAACAAATTACCTGACTATATATATATATATATAAGTCAGGTAATACATATACACACAGACACATACATACATACATACATATATATACACATTTTGTGCTATTCTCTTTTTGTGATCCTTTGGTCTAAAATAACATGATGCTGTCACCAACAGACAAAAACAATAAGTTACTAAATGTTGTCAACTAAAACTTTGTTGAGTAAAAATTTCAATTCTTTCTTCAAGAATTTACACAATATAGATGGACAAAAGTAAAATTCTCAGGCAACTATAAGTCCATCAATAATGTAATTAAGTGCAACCCACCTCTGAACATGTTGTTGCAAGAAGTGTTTAAATACAAAACCTTCCAGTCTGATTCCATTTCCATTTCTGTAAGCATTTTACTTCCTGGGTATTTGTGTAATACTGGGAAGAGATATACATGCAATATATAAATAACAATACTATTATTTTTGTCTTTCAGAAATTTAAACATGGGATCAAGTACAACAAAACCTGGTGAGTTTAAATTCCAATCCAAACAGGACAGCATTCATAAGGTTACACAACACCTACATACACCTTTCATGACAACTGACTTAAGCCTATGTAGATATTTATAAAGACCTTTATTTCAAGAAGCATAACTTGCTGAGGTAAAATGATAAGTAAATTGTCAAAAGCAGTCCTTATGACAACTGATGCTTGTTGGAATAAGCCTTTATAAATGTCTTTGTAGGTTTCATGAAAAAAGATATAAGCTGAAATGTACAGTTTTACTGAATTAGTTCAATCTGTGGTCCCACAGTAAAATCTATGTAAAAAGAATTTTCTGAACACAGTTATAACACAATTATAATGCATTCATAAGGCATCATAAATATGGCTATAGATATTTATAAGAATGTATTGCATTCTATAACCATGCTTATTATGCCTTTCAAATTATTAACATAACACATTTAAGTATTGTTCGTAACATGTTATTACAGCTTGTAAGTTGTATTTGTCAGCTCCAAGTGAGGCACACTGTACTGAAGTCTCCTCCAGTATTAAGACTGAAACACTGCAACATACAAAGTAAAATCCATTACAATCTTCAAATATCAGATTTTAAACTAGTGTTGCCATCAGTAGTATTTTACCCAATGTGGAAAAGTCAATGTACACCACTGTCAGCTTGGCGCTAAATTAACACTGCATATCCAATAGAATGCTAGCAGAAATTAGCATTACTGTAGTGCAGTGTAGTGATGTTATAGAGTGAAGGTTTCTAGCGGTTAATGTTAGAACCAGTGAATGAGCAAATAGCACTTTACTAGCTTTCCTCTCACTCCCCATACCTTCGCTGTGCATTGTAGGAATAACTCTGGGCTGGGCAACTTGTTTAGGGCTGGTATCTGAATATTCAGGACTTAAGCTCCAAAGGTGCAGACCTAACACCCATGGTGAAAAATAAGATACTGGAAATGCCATGGTGTAAATAAATGTGTTTGTCTTATTGTACTTTATACTCTACAGGCTGGCACTGACAATACAACATGTTTTTAACACTACTTATTATGCATTATGTACTTTACACGTTAATGTGAAATGTAATCCATTTTTCATTCATATTTATAGCCATATTTATAATGCCTCATGAATACATTATAACATGTTATGAATGTGCTAATAGATGCTCATAGACATGGTATTCGTAGAAAATATTAGTAAAATTTCTTTTAAAGTGAAGATTTAACTTAAAAGAAGCTGTACTCAAAAATGCTGTACAATTGTTTTTGCTATTAAAACACAAACAGTTTTATTCCAAAAGCAGAGCCTTATTTTAGTCACACCCCTCCATTTTATGGCAGGAAGTGAGACTGCATGCCTGTCCCTCATGGCCACACGTTAGATCCTATTGCTCTGAAGTAAATGTGCCCCGACGGTTTGAAAATCCGAGTGGAACATTAAGAATTGTCACTACCGAAACATATTATCTGCAATTAAGTCAACTTCTTTGTGTTTTAATGAATAATAATAGGATTTTATGTTGTGTTTGCTAATCATGTACTGGCTAGCATTTTTGAGTTCTGCTCAAATTTTTGCAGTCGTGGGCTGGAGATTAGGGAACCAGCGCTGTGACTGGAAGGTCACTGCTTCAATCCCCTGAGCCGAAGTATGTGACTGAAGTGCCCTTGAGCAAGGCACCTAACACCCAACTGCTCCCCAGGCGCTGTGGATAGGCCTGCACTTTGAATACAAACTGTGCTATTGCTGTCAGTTTCTCCAAATGGTTGAAAAATGTTACAAATGGAACTGTAATGGTTTTAGTCACAACTGTGTATAAGTTTAACTCTATATCTAAGCAAACTGCACAGAAAAAACGTAGCAAAATATGACCGGTAAAATTACAGAACAGTGCCTTTATTTCCTGGGCATTTGTACTTGGCATAATAGCACCTTCTGCTTTCAGTTGTGGGACAAGTGCTTCCTGATATGTATTTTGTTAGTTTCCAAATGCACTTTCAGATACACTGAAACATTTCAGATACTGTGAATACTGACATATGTAGACGAAATCTCCCTGTTGAATGAGAATCGTTTCCTAATACTCTCATCCTCCTATTTCCAACAGAATTTGTCTCTGTTTTGGTTGATCAAAATGTGGCAGAAGGAGAAGATGTTACTCTTCGCTGTGTGGCAAACACAGGAGAAGTAACAGCAAAATGGGAGAAGAATGGACGCAGATTGGAATGTGTACACAACAAGTACACAATAAATCAATATGGTACAACATTTAGCTTGACAATCAAGAACACTGCAAAGGAAGATCAAGGGAAATACACAATACACCTGTGGAATCAAGCTGGTAGTGCCTCATGCTCTGCTGTGGTCACTGTTGGTATGTATGAATTCTGCACTTGAGTAGCTAGGGTCTTTATTCACACCCTAACAGACTGCTCACTGTAATAGACTGCTTATATTAAATATTCACAGTAAAATTAAACAATCGCTCAAATTTAACCCTATACAAAGATGTTTCATTTGCACATTGTTGTTATGTTGCTCTTCAGACCTCCACTACAGGCTAGCATCTTTGAAAGGCCACCTTGGGTGTTCCTAAGTTGGAAACAAATTTGTGAGATTCCACTGTCTGAATCCCCAGTTCACGGAAGGCTAGCAGTGCAACCCATTGGAAAGGGCATGTCACTCTCTACTGACCTGTGGAGCTTGGCAGCATAATGGATTTGGATTGTTTAAGTCACCTGTTGCAAAACATTCCCTTCTCTTGTGTTTTTATTCATTTTGTCATCAATGACTACTTTCATCAAATAAATGTCAACTTTAAAAAATCCAAAGTTGTGCAAACCCTACATTGTACAGAGCTGGAAGAATAAAAAAAACAAAATATGTGTATGTTTTGGAAGCAGAACTGATTACATATTCTGTTGTATGGAATTTTCTCCTCTTCTTAAAACCAGGCACAAATTAATGCTAATATCTCAAAGATTTGTTGTCGGGAAACTTCTTTTAATGACAAGAGGAGACACAGCAGCTAGACAGAGAAAAAGGCCTTAAACACAGTGATGAATATGAATATTTAGCAACCAAGTAACACAATTATAGCTCACAGAGCCAGATGTACATACATGAAGAGATGTAAAATCTGCCTTGATAAGACCACAATATGCACTTACATTTTATGTTATTGGATTTCTCTGGCTGGAGTAGAATTACACCCTTTACAGAACATTTTAGTGGGAAATAATATCCTCATCACTGAACTTCCAGTTTCTATTTTGTCTCAGGCTTGCACTGTAAAAAGTGGCTCATCTAATCTACCTAACATTTACAAATGGTAGCAAGCAATTGAACTAGTTTTATTCAACTTAAAAAAACTACCTTGGTTGAAAGAATCATTCATTCAAAGTATTCATTTAGGTTGAATAAAACTAGTTAAATTACTTGTTACCTCATGAAGTAAATTTTTAAGGTAGATCTGACGAGCCACTTTTTACAGTGTGGAGACAGCTCTATTGTTTCATTGTGTGGTGCCTCACAGGCGCAGTGCATTTAAAAAGTGGTTCTGTGCTCAGTTTTCATGCTTAGATACAGTCTTAGTAAACAGATTGGTGATTTTAGATGACTTACAAACACATAATACAATCACACAAAGGCACAATGTGAATTAGCATGGTATTTGCTGTGGTGTACCGCAAGGCTCTGTACTCGGCTCACTTTTAATTAAGATGCATGCAGTCAATTTTTACCGTCATTGATAATAGAGAAAATGTTACTCTCCAACCTAAAATAAGCAGGATCTTATTAGTAATGATAATTAGCAACACATATGATAATAGAAGTTTTTTTTTTCATTTTACAGCAATTTGAAGTTGTCATTAAACAACATAGCACCTGAAGTGAGCAATACAAACCAGTATGCCCAACTTGCTGTCCAAAGCTAAACTCTAAGTTAAAAGTTTGAGACGTCCCTGTTGCTGTGTGGATATATATATATATATATATTAGATATGTTAAATGGCTCAGGACGTTACAGGTGCTGGTCTCAAGTTGAACTCACACATTCTCTATTCTCTTTAGTTAACCTTCCTGAATTCATGTGGTTTACTTCTGCATTTCCTATCTTTGAAATGTGTGTGCTTATTCCATTCTGCCAGTACAGGATGTTCAGATAACCTGTTACATGCACACCATTTCCAACTGAATCCTTCCAGTTATGCAGATGATATGCAGTTTTATACAACAGTTAGTTCTGGCCACGCAAGCTGATTGGTTGAGAAGCGTTTTAACAAACACTGTATCAGTCCTCTGAGAGAATGTTACTAAGCAACGACTTTGACGGCTGTAGGAGACGCTCAAGGCATTAGAATGTTTTTACTTCGTACTTTGCCACAAACAGAAAATGGATAGTTTTAAGATCACACTAAATTCCCAAACTGTCATCACCACTGAGCAGCTTTTCAGTCGGCAGCTGTGACAGAAGAACAGCTAAACAACCTGGAATCAGCCAGAAATGTACCTAATATCATTTTCCAAACTAAATGGGCTGTAAGATGCTTTACAGACTGGCTGGAACAAAACAACATTAATAATGAGCTGGCAAAAATTGACAAAACTGAGCTAAACTTGATATTGTGGCAGTTTTATGGCTCAGTGCGATTTGGTCAGACTCTGAAGACGAGACTACATGTTTGGCGAATGGTATTCGCTTAAATTCTAGTTAATTTCAGGTTGTTTAGGTGATGACGTTGTTTTGAGGTTGTTTTGTTTGTTCTGTCTCAGCTGCCGACTGAAACACTTGCTCAGTGGTGATGACAGTTTCAGAATTTAGTGTAAGGAGAACAAACTGCCTGCTGTGCAGCGAGTAAGCAGAGCTCGTTACTCTGACGTAGCAACAAGCTGCTTGTTAAGGAACTATAATTTGGCGGAAGGAACTGCTAACATTACAACATATTAACCGCCACATTCAAGGACCAATTTATTTATTTCTTACTTCATTTATTTAACTGTTGTATAAAACTAAAATGTGTTAATGTTGTTTGTTTTCACGAATGACATCATGGCTTGCCTTCGGCTTGTGCCTGCGAACAAATCACAGCCGTGATGTTAGTTTGTGATAACACACTCCCTCTTGTGTTTTATTGCTTAAATACACATCTCTAGAGCTAGATGGTGATTACAGCTACAAAGTAAACAACTTTTGCATGTTTCATAGTTCGTAAGACCCATTTTCACAGCCATTTGAATTTGTAATATTACCTGATAAACTACAACTACCATAAACCATATAACAACTACACTGAGGAGATGGCTTGGACAGTTTGGAAATAGGTAATTATACACATCTCTAGTGCTAGATGATGTCACTACTCTAGATAAGTAGTTAACTTTTCTGTCCAACAAAATTGGCTTGATAAAAACTAAATCTTATTAAAGCCTCAAACTTTATGAAAACTTAGAACATAGAGACAGCACTGTTAAAAATGAAAATCAGCTCAACTTAAAATTATGAAGTAACATTACATTTCTTGACATTACTCAACTTAAGAACACTAGTGTTCACCCAAGTCAAACCTCTTGGTCTTTTGTTTTTCGTCTCAGGCAAATAACAAGTATAATTCAGTTTCCTCACAAGCTGGGACTCTTTCTATCACACAATCCCATCAGACATTTTCTGTTCTTGGGTACTAATTTTTGGATGGCTGTGGCATTGCTGGGGTTCAAACTCACTCACCTGTTGGGGTGATTTCTTAGTCCATTGCACCACATTGAAACACCTGAAGCTACTCAGATTCCATGATCACAAATGTTTAATAAACTATAGAAAAGATTTATTGCTTAACTTTGAAAAGCTGCTTGATGATTGTATGTAGTGCTGTGGTCTAAGTACCTAATAATTCATCCCGACTTTGGGAGATTGTGAGTTTAAAGCACAGCAAAAGCTCAGTTATCCATGGAAGCTCAAGAGAAGAAAATGTCTAAGGTGAATGGAAAGAATCTCAGCTACTGGAGAAACTGAGTAGAGAAACATTCACTTTTTTATTTTTTACCCAAGTGATGCAGAACTAGAGAAGACATCTAATTTATTTGCTGAGTTTAACATGTTGGTAAAAATAAACATAAAATATTAAATGTGCAACACATTTTGCACAGGCCACATTTTAAATAGTTAAATTCAATACATTAAATAAACAGTAATTGAAAGAATTTAATTGAAAGAGTAATAAAACATAAACAAGGATGATGTGCTTAACAGTGAAGAGGTTTGCAGTTGCAATTTCTCAGAAATCAGCTCTTTGCAAGATGTCATGAGGACCCCACTCTGCCCCCCTCCCCTCCGTTATCCTCATTGAGTTGAAAGTGAAAGTGAAATGAGTCTGTATATATGCAGAGAGGAACTGCAGACACAGAGCATCAGACAGAAAGAGACCTCAGCATCATTTCTTGTAAAGGTAAGAGCTTCTGTAACCCTATATTAGAATTTTTAAGATCGAAGAAATTTGAATTACTATAACAGCACATGTACTGTGTTAGCCATGGCTAAACCTGACACATTTTCCAAACCTCATAATGTAGTTTTGTGTAATTCTGCATTTACCAATTTTCTAATTTTTGTCTAGTTATTTTCTGCAGTCTGCAGTCATAAAGTAAGAATTGCAAATTTCCACTATATAAGAGTCACATACAAAAGTTTAAACACCCATGGTCATGTTGTATTAGTTAAGGCATCCTCTACAAGTAAACTTAAATAACATTAAAAAAAAATGGTGCACAATTTTTATTTATTTACTGAATTTGTCAACAAAAAATTGTTTTGTATCCACTTATGTACAAATGGACAAAGGGTGTCACATTCTCCAAAAGTACTATTAAAAGTTGGCTAAAGTTGGCTACAATGGGAAACTGCCAGAAACATAACCATAAAGAATAATGCTGCCACCACCATACTTTTAATTTTTTTGGGTTCTAATATGATAAAATAAAGGTGCCTAAAAGCTGTACATGAAAATTGTACAGGAAAATGGTACATTCACCTGGCAAGTTTCTCCAAAAAGACTAGAATGTAAGTGCTCAGTGATGACTAATTGATGCTATTAATTTTATTTAGAAGATAAGTGGAGTGTAAGAAGTTTACCTCTTTAAACCTCTTTAAACTCTTTAAACTAGAAAAAATCAAGCATAAGCATAATAACAACATTTGACAACATCACTTTGATGTATATCATATGATTTGAGTCTGCACCTCTGGCTATAACCAGGGTGCTATTTCTTAGAGGATGTAATGGGATGTGATGTAATGTCACCTACTAAACTTAATCTTGAAGATTAAGAACCAAGAAAAGATTTATTTCTTTTTTTCCAATATGTTAAACCCTCCAAATAAATAGAAATCATGCATTAAAATTGGCAGAAAATTGTCACATTTAATTGTGTTCTCTGTAGAAGATATGTTGACTTATTTTCACTGAGAAAATCAACAAAACATATAATTGAACCATGGACAACCAAATTAGAACAAACCCATACTCCAGTAAAAAGTTTTGCTACATTAGAGAATTATTGGCTGCGGTAAAAGAAAAAGTACCTTTCCAGAAAACAACATGAGTAGACATCCAAAACTACTAGAACCTCAAAAAGCTACTTTAGAACTGAATAACTTGCAGTGGACCTACATAGCACATCCAGCATCTGTCAGCATTCAAACTGAATTTTGTTTGTGGTGCTATTCTTCTTTTTGGGATCCTTTGGTCTAAAACAAAATGCTAAAGCTCAAAACTCAAAAGTGTAATCAATTGGAATCCAGTCCAGATACTGTTACCAACAGCAAAACAAAAGCAACTAGATGATAATGACATTAATATCATTGAAAAGAAGTAAAAAATAAAACACCTAGAAAAATAAAAAAAATGTACTTAAAAATGTACTAAAGTTCAAAGTGTGTGTAGAAGCAAGACCTTCCAATCTAATTCCATTTCCAGTTCTGTTACCATCTATGCTTCCATCAATTATTTAAAATTGGAAAGAGATTCAATATATAATAAATAATAACATCATTTTTTCTTCAGTTCCAGAGATTCAAACATGGGAGCATTTCAAGGCAGACCCGGTAAGTTTGAATGAACCAATCCAAATAAGACAGCATTCATAAGGCTACAGAACCCCTACATCTGAATTCTTTAATAAGAATAAGTGGAATATTTTTCATTAAAACACAAAATAGTTTATGTAACTGTAGAAAATGTGTTTCAGTACTGACTGTTCTTAATGTTTCACACTGATTTTCAGATTTGGGACACATTTACTTGAAAATAATGGGATATAACTGCTCACCATTTGGCCATGAGGGACAGGGATGCAGTCTCCCTTCCTGCTCTAAAATGCAGAGGTGTGGCTAAAATAAGGCTCTGTCTATGAATTAAAACTTTTATGTTTTGGTAGTGACATGATAATCCACACAGCAATTTTTGAATAAAGTTTTTTTCATGTAGAAATTAAAATCTTGATATTTCTAAATTAACTTCAACTTCATCAAATCAAAAAGATCTTTTCACAGAATAAGGGATTAGAAATACAATATTTTTCATTTTGATTTGTTATTTATGTTGTCATTCCTGTCCCAGCATTCCACATCTCCTCTCCAGCTGGTAACTGATTAGAATAAAATAAAAGAATGGTTAATTCCATTCTTACATGGCACACTATGTGAGTATTAGGCCTTTTCAAATAACGATAACATCATCAATCACTGTTGCATTTATTTAATGAAAGTTTAACTAGAACAAAATAATAATCTTATTATCTGGTTAATAATAAATGTGAATTGTATACAACTATCCACTCATCCCAGCCAAGCCATGCTTGGTATCCAAATTTTGCACATTTAGTGTAGCACTGGAGCTATGAGGCTAACATTGCCAACAAACACGTTGAGTAAACAGGCACCCAAATATTTTCCAAAAATACACCCCTAAAACCTCTCTCAGCCTGTTCAAATGCAGATAAACATTTCCTCGCATATTAGTGTACTTTCCTAATAATTCCATCCTCCTGTTTTGAACAGAATTTCTCTGTGTTATGGCTGATAAACAAGTGAAAGTTGGACAGGATGTTACTCTTCACTATGAGGTGAACACACGAGAAGTAACAGCAACGTGGGAGAAGAACGGACGCAGCTTGGAATGTGTGGAGGGCAAACACTTGATAAGACAAAGTGGTACATCATTTACCTTGACAATCAAGAATGCTCAACAAGAGGATGGAGGGAGATACACAGTACACCTGAGGAATGTCTCTGGCTCTACCTCATGCTCTGCTATGGTCACTGTAGGTACTTAGGAAGTCTGCTTCCCAGGGCTAAGGACTTTATTTAAACATTAACAGGCTGCTCACTATAACTGACATGGATAGTCATCCACTTTAAGTCTTCAAGCCTCTATTAAGCCATCTTGTATCAGAATAAAAAGAATCGTGTTTCAAACTGAATTGAGTCATGCCTCCTCCTAGTATTATAAAACACTGCTTCAGTTATTGCCATCTATCAGCTGTCAGGTACCAGTCCTCAGTTGTCAGGTATCAGTCATCACTTATAAGGTATGAGGTATGACAGGTATCACTTTTGAGGAATTCTGGTATCCTTTTCAGGTATCAGATATCATCTGTCAGGTATCAGTCATCAGTTGTCAGTTATCAGGTATCAGATATCAGTCATCAGTTGTCAGGTATCATATATCCATCTTCAGTTGTCAGGTACCAAATATCAGTTGTCAGGAATCAGGTATCAGGTATCAGGTAACAGTTGTCAGTTGTCAGATGTCAGTCATCAATTGTCAGATATAAGTAGCCAGGAATCAGATCATCATTCATCATTAGCTAGGTATCAGTCTTCAGTTGTCAGGTATCAGTTGCCAGTATCAAGTATCAGTGGTCAGTTGTCAGGTATCAGGTATCAGACATCAGTCATCAGTCATCAGGTACTAGTCATCAGTTGTCAGGTATTAGTTGTCAGGTGTCAAGCATCAGTCCAACTTTTCAGGTCTCAATTGTCAGTTACCAGGAATAAGGTATCAGATATCAGCCATCAGTTGTCAGGTGTCAGATATCAGTTCTTAGTTGTCAGATATCAGGTATCAGCAGTCAGGTATCAGGTGTCAGTAGTCAGGTATCAGGTGTCAGTTGTCAGTTATCAGGTATCAGATATTATTCATCAGTTTTGGGTATCAGTCATCAGTTGTCAGGTATCAGGTATTAGATATCAGTTGTCAGTAGTCAGGTACCAGATATCAGTTGTCAGGTATCAGTCATCAGTAGTCAGGTATCAGATATCGGTCTTCAGTTGGCAGTATCAAGCATCAGTGGTCAGTTGTCAGGTATCAGGTATCAGTCAACAGGTACTAGTCATCAGTTGTCAGGTATTAGTTATAAACTTTTCAGGTATCAGTTGTCAGTTACCAGGTATAAGGTATCAGATATCATTTGTCAGGTATCAAATATCAGTCATCAGGTATCAGTCATCAGTTTTTCAAGTATCAGTTGTCAGTTGCAAGGTATTAGGTATCAGATATCAGTCATCTGTTGTCAGGTGTCAGATATTAGTTGTCAGGTATCAGCCATCAGCAGTCAGGTATCGGATATCAGTCTTCAGTTGTCGGTATCAAGTATCAGTGGTCAGTTGTCAGGTATCAGGTATCAGATATCAGTTATCAGGTATCAGATATCAATTGTCAAGTATTATTGTCAGCTTCAAAAATAGCACACAAACAAAAAACACAAAAGCAAACACACAAACAAAGAAATCACATTATAAACAAAGAAATCACATTATAAAAGAACAAAAACGTCCTTATATTGTTGTAGTAAAAATCACTCCAGTTCCAACATGAAGTCCCAGTGTTTGAGGACAATAAGCATTACATCAGCAGCAATCCTAATCTGAATGATAAGATTCACTGGCTAGCAAAGCATGATCGCAGCATCCAACATTACCCTAATAGACAACAAAGTAATGTAAAAAGACCTATTGACCTATTTATCTTTTATTTCATTCAACAAGTAGAATAAGTAAAGAAAGTATAACATCTAAAATTTAAATGTACGCCAAAAAAAAGTGTTATTTATGGTTTTTACTGTTAAGCCACCTCTCTGGGCTAAAGAGAATCTATCTATCTATCAATCTATCTATCTATCTATCTATCTATAGTACATTATCTATAGTACATTAAATTAAATATATTATGGGATAGATATAGCTGTGTAATCTACTAATTTAGAACTTTAGTTGGAGCTGACTTTCATTTTTAACAGTGTCTAAAAGTGAAAGATCCATGCATTTCTATAAAGTGAGAAAGATTTCTTTCTAGTAAGCCTTAAAGCAATGCTCACCTTACAATTTTAAGTTGCACATCTTACGTTTGCTGTAAGTCTATAAGAATTGTGTGAAAACAAACACAATCTGTAAAATAAAAGGCATAAGACAGCATAACATGCTGACCAGTAACCTCAAAGGTGCTTTTAGTTTCAATTTCTCAGAAACTGATGCTTCACATGATAAACCGTTACAAGCACCCTTCACCCTCCCCCACAATCTCCTGATGGAGTTGAAAGTGAAAGTGAAATGGATGTGTATATATAGACAAGAAGAGCTGCAGACACAGAGCATCACACAGAGAAGGAGAAGGAGACACAGACCTCAGCATCACTTCTTATAAAGGTAAGTTAAGCTACATTTGAAAGCAGGGAGTTCTTAAGATTTCAAAAAGAGTTCAAATGTGAATGACTGTAGCAGCACATGTACTGTGTTAGTCATGGCTAAACCTACCACACTTCCCAACCTTATAATGTAGTTTTGTGTAATTTTGCATTCATCTTTAATTTTCTGTTTTTTGTCTAGTTATTCTTTGCAATCATGAATTCAACAAAAAGTAAGAAATGCATCACTGTATGATGGCTTGCTTGCATATCCAGTCAGTAAAAAATATCCTCTAAAACTTATAAATGACATTTTCCTGCAAATCCAAGCGCACAATTTCTATTTATTTGCTGAGTTTAACATATTGGAAAACATACAAATAAAACCTAATATATAAAATGTGCTATAACTTTTACACAGGCCATCTTTAAAGTTTCCTAGTATGTTAAATTCAGCAAGTAAACAATAAATGTGCATTAACATGTGCAGAGCAGGATATGTCAACATATATCAACATTTCTACAGGGTTCTATAAGCTCAGTGCTCTGACTCATGGATTTGATATGTTTTTTTTTTATTTTAGTTTGTTTTGTTGTCTAGCATTGTCTGTCACTATGGCCTACCATGTTCGTAAAATTCAAAAAGGTGCCAAAATGCATTCTCTGGAGTGATGCTACAGCAGAACCACTTTCCTAAAGAATGTTTCTGTGAATAGTTCTTTAAAAAAAAAAAACTCATTTGACAGGTTCTTAAGGGGGGCAATAGTGGTTATTGTATGGTATCACTCCTACATGATCATGAAACTGGTGGCAAATTCACATGCTAATTTGTTTTTTTAATATCAAGAAATTACAACTTCAAATATATATATATATATATATATATATATATATATATATATATATATATATATATATATATATATATATATATATAATTACAATGGGAATTATAAGCCCCTCACAATGTTTTGACAGAGGGGAAAACACCTGAAATATTTCAGGTTAAACTTGCCGCCATGCCATCCGTTATCAAGTCTATATTACACCTTCTAACATAAATTTTTAATAATTAATCACTTGATTATTTATACTTTTTGTGTTTATACAGATATAAATCCATCAAAAATATAATTGAGTGCACTCCACCTCTGAACATGTTGTTTCAATGAGTGTCTAAACAGAATAGCCTGATTTCTTTTCCAAAGAATATATATATATATATATATATATATATATATATATATATATATATATATATATATAAATGCAATACTATTACTTTTGTCTTTCAGAAATATAAACATGGGATCAACTCCATCAACTCCATCAACTTCACCAACTCCATCAACTCCACCAAAACCAGGTGAGTTTAAGCATTCATAAGCAGCTAAACATTTCAGTATGAAAACAGTCACTTCAGAAACATTTGTTAAACGTTCAGTAGTTATGATTGTTTTGTTAGTGACAAAATGGAATGTTTGATCATTTATTTTAATAAAATAAACATAAAAATTAGGGTCACTGGGACGAGTGCTTCCTGGTTTACTGATTATGACTGACGTCCACGGATACCATGCATGATGGTTCTAAACTCGAAATTTAGGAAATTTACAGAGACTGAAAACAAAAACTGAAAATGAGCAAATTTTACAGAATGCAATGAGAAGCAAAATTGAGTGAAAACTTCAGTTATTATGGTTTGGTTTGATTGATGGGTTAACAAAATCCTTATAGATATGTTTACACACACACACACACACACATATATATATATATATATATATATATATATATATATATATATATATATATATATATATATACTGAATACTGACATGAACACTCTGTGTTGGATGTTAATCTTAATACTTTCTTAATACCTAATACTTAATACTTTCATCTTTCTGTTTCCAACAGAATGTGTCTCTGTTTTGGCTGATAAACAAGTGAAAGAAGGACAAGGTGTTACTCTTCAATGTGAGGCAAACACAGGAGAAGTAACAGCAAAGTGGGAGAAGAATGGACACAGATTGGAATGTGTGGAAGGCAAGCACACAAGAAGTCAAAGTGGTACAGCGTTCAGCTTGACAATCAAGAACACTGCAAAGGAAGATGAAGGGAACTACACAATAAACCTGCAGAATGACTCTGGTAGTGCCTCATGCTCTGCCATGGTCATTGTGGGTATGTATGAATTCTGCCCTTTAGTCACTCCCTAACAGACTACTTACTGTAACAGGCTCCTCAAATTTCATTTTTTACAGTAAAAAGTCAAAAGAAGGAAAACAATTGCTCAAACCTTGACCCTATAGAAAGATCTTCCATCTTCTCATTGTTGTCGTGTTGCTGTGAAACACCATCTCTAATTTTACATACTGTAAACTGTCTTGTGCTGTGACTTTTGTGGGGCTTACTTTCTTGAGTTTACCTCTTGAGGGGAACTAGAGCTTTTTTGTCTCTGCTTTTGTTAGTTTGTTGTTCATTATCCATCGTTCTCCTATTTACCTCGCTCTCTCTGGATGGGTAGGGTGCCATCACTCAGCGTGATGCTAATGTGGGTTCCTGTTAACTTCGGTTGGCAGTATTGCGATACCTGGCTAGTAGGTGGAATTAGCAACTGATTAACTGGGGAGAAAACTGGACACAAATCCGTTAGCTTGAAAAGCTGTTGCTAAAATCCCAGGTGGTTGCTAAGGTATTGCTAGGCCACTGCTGTTGTATCTTAGGTGGTTGCATTTACATGTTATTGCCAGTTCTTGGCAACATGGAGCTGAGGTCAATTCCAGGGAGTCATAAGATGAATTCGATTACAGCTGTTATGAAGGTTTTGAAGAAAATATTAATAAACTTTTGGCATAAGCACGGAAGCTACCTGCCTAAATGTAATGCTAAATTTTGGAGTTTCTGAAATTACTGTGAAATATTACCATATGTAGCCACAGAAGCACATCCCATAAGATTTTCTGTAAAATCAAATGCTGTTTAATCAAATGTTCTTCTTGAGGTGCAGAGCATTTCACTTGTTCCTACAATAATTCTTGCATTTCTTGCAGAACTCAATGAATGGAGGACTGCCCAAAGGACGTAAGTCATTCTTTTAACATCAGATCATGCGATCAAAGGGGGAGTAGCTAAGTAGCACGCTACTTTTTGTAGTTAACTACAATTTTTTTGTAGCTAATAGCTGTAGCCGCTACAGTTTTATGAAATGTAGCTAATAGCTGTAGCGCCTACAAATAGTACAGCAGTACAAATACATTGAATTAATACAATTTCCATAACACAGCTAACAATGCTTTCCACAAAATTGTTATTTTTGTTGATTTTTGTTAGGAAATGCCTGAAATGATTGACTTTGCTACTTAGTCTAGATTTGTGTTGGATATCACGCCTTTAGTTGTGTAGGTTTGGTTGTTGGTTACACTTAACCTTACTTTTTGGTGAACTTTTTGTATATTTGCAAATTTTCAATTGTATGTTTCTTTCTGGCTCATGATTAAATGCAGTGTCTTGTTCACACTACCAGTTGGGCTTGTTTGGTGTGTCAGGTGGAGATTCACAAACATTCTGACAATCACGCTTTGAAAGTAGCTAAAAATTAAAAAGTAGCACATTACTTTTCAAAAAGTAGCTAAAAAGTAGCCATTACTTTTTCTGGAAAAGTAGCTAAATTGTAGCTAGCTACAAACTGTGGCAAAGTAGCTACAAAGTAGCTAACCACTAATTTTTCAGTACCAACCCTGGCCAGCACAGACAATAAGAGTTGACACAGTGCTCATTTCTATAGCTTGCAATTCACATTCACTTTGCTTAAAAAACAAACCACAACAAGAGAGAATAATAATAACCATATGATGGTCGACACATTCAGAAGCCCTAAAAAGCCATGAGTTTACATATTTTATTTACTTGTTATCAGATTAACTAAGACACTGTTGGCTCTCTGTGTCTGAAATTTTGTGACTGTGTTGAGTTGCTAGGGAGCAATGTGGTGGGTTCTGGCAGTGCTGAAGGAGGGAAACACCAGTGCTACTGCTGCTGGGGGGGGCACTTGCATGCATATGCGTCTGATGCTGGGATGATGTTACCTTCAGCCACTGTAGCCACTTTTTAGGCCCTGGACAAAGAGCTGCATGACTGAACACATCACCCAGCTATGACTGAGCTCAACTTGGCTCACCCTCAGTGCCCCTTTCCATTGTAAAAAATAAACTAGCCAAATAAAATAACTCAATAAAATTAATAAAAACAAGGGCTCAAACTCAAAAACAAACAACGCATAAACAATATACAAGTGATATAAGTGACTTATTACAGCTGTAAAGGCATCAATCATGAATCATGAAACATGGGCTTTGGCCAAACAATCAATATACTGACTCCTACTGGATATATTTTGAACTGCAGTAAAGAACACACTTAAAATTGTGGTTAATTATGAAAAGTTAATATAAGTTTTATTAATTTAAGCATTATTTTTGGAATGAATATTCGAGTACTTGTTCAGAACTACCAACAAGTTACATTGGCTGCAATTATTAAGGTGTTGGTCCTCCCTCGTCCACTCTGAACATTACATGTATGCATCCAACCATACATGCAGATAAAGTAAGCTATTAAAATCTAAAATTCTGAATAAATAATTTGACATTATACAAACTCAATTTCAAAAAAGTAGAAAAAGTATGTGAATCTCTGAACGCATTCGGACTTGATTAGGACTAAGTTTAGGATTTGAGGGTTTCCTGTATTGACTTGGGACTTCAATATGAAGTCTGAGGATAAATTGTTAATATAACAATAAAGTGTTCCCATATCTGATACTATACACTGATCATTCATTTTCATTCCGCCCCCAGACAAGATCCAATGATCAAAACCCTAAAGAACTTCGACATCAGTAATAGTGAAGTCAGAGAGCTTCGCTTCCTTCTGCATGGACCAGTTGGAGCAGGAAAATCCAGCACCATCAACACCATCAAAACCATTTTTGATGGACATCAGTTCATCAACTGTCTGGCTGCTTCAGATTTAAGTGGAGAGAGTTTTACAACTAAGGTGAGTCCAGTCATGAGAAATATGTGATTTGGTCAAAAAATCCAAATTTTACTAATTTTTGACTTAAGAAATTGGTCATACCTGCTTAATGTGGTGGTAATATTTGTAGTTCTACAATTACAGACTGTAGTCCATCTGTTTCTCTGCATACTTTGTTAGCCCCTTTTTACCCTGTTCTTCTGTGGTCAGGACCCCAAGAGGACTGCTGTGTCTGATCCACTTATACCAGCGAAACACATTAACATACTGTTACCACGTCAGTGTGACTGGAGTGCAGAGAATGATCCACCATCCAAATAATACCTGCCCTGCGGTGGTACCATGTGGGTCTTGACCACTGAAGAACACGGTAAAAGGGGGCTAACAAAGTATGCAGAGAAACAGATGGACTACAGTCTGTAACTGTAGAACTACAAAGTGCACCTATATAGTCAAGCTGATAAAATGGACAGTGAGTGTAGAAACAAGCAGATGTACTCAATAGAGTGGCTGGTCAGTGTATATGACATCTTTTCTAAATAGCTTTAAAAGGATGGGTGCAAAAAGTTAGTATCTGTAAATAATTGTTGTTTACATCCAGGACAGGCAGATTCCACTTCTTTTTTGTCTGAAATGAGTTGAGCACATGAATTTTTCTGTGGACTGTAACTGCTATGAAAGCTAAGCAACCATAGGCAACCATTGGGGTCCAAGCACTATGTGCCTTTTGTTTCCAATATCAGCCTTCTAGCAGATAGAACACAAATGATGAGTTTTAGAATGTCTTCTGCTTATATGAATTGTTTTGGGAGTAGTTTTTTAAACATAAAATAATCTTCTTCTTCTTCTTCCTTTTGTTCTGCTTTTCCTTCTCTCTCTTCTTCTTCTTCGTTTCTTTCTTTCTCTCTTTCTTTCTTCCTTCTTCTTCTTCTACTTCTTCTTCTTTTTCTTCTTCTTTTTATTATTATTATTATTATTATGCATTTCCAGTACCAGAGGTTGTCTGTTGGATCTTCACCATTCGCCTTCTATGATGTGATGGGTCTAGAAAAAGACCAGAAACAAGACAAAAGAAAACAACCAAAAGGGGTGCACTCTGATGACATCATCAATGCTTTAAAGGGCCACATACCAAACGACTATGAAGTGAGAACCACACACACACACACACACACACACACACACACACACACACACACACACACACAAAGGCACAAAAAACAATCCTAAATTGGTCGTGTTGTTGTCAGTAAAAACCTGTTGTTTTTTTTCTCTCGCGTTTAGTTCATACCTGAACAACCAATGTCTGAAGACAATGTAAATTACATCAGTGATCCCACCCTGAATGATAAGATTCACTGCCTAGTGAGCGTTATCGCTGCAGACAAAGTTACCCTTATGGAGGATGACGTCATCCAGAAAATGAAGACCATCAGAGCAGGAGCCAGTAAATTAGGTGAGTTCACTCTTACATCTGTCATTTGATTCAACAAGTAAAATTAATAAAAACGTATGAGAAACAAAAATAGGAAATATAAATAAAAAGTGTTATTTATACATTTAACAATTGATTTAGGCAGATGGGGTATGAATATTGATATGTAATTGCAATGTAAAATGTACTCTATTATACTGAATATCAGTAAATTTGTCAGACCACTGACCAAATTACTAAAATCTGAGCTTTTCTAAAATATCGTTTTTCCTGAGGTAGGATATACACAGTACTTGAGTAAACAAAGTGTAAACACTGTATTTATAATAAAATATAAAATGTATATATAATTTATAATATAATATAAAAAGTCTCAGTAACACAAATTCTGCTACATAACATGGACATAACCATTTTATAAACATGTCTGGGAGAATGTCGTATGCTATCATAAACTGTCATAACAGATGTCATTATACTTATGTCTCATGTTCATTTTTGCTAAATCTGCTGTAGTTCACTGCCATGATGTCAAATATTGTGACATCTGCCATGACATATTTATGCCAATATTTAGCATGGTTAATGAGAAGTGTTACAAGCAAAGACATGAACACACAGGATATTGTGACTCACTTGACACAAATGCCAATCTGTATGATCATAGTAACCCATCCTACAAAAGTTAACCACTCAAAACCATTTTTATTAATTAAAATTGCATTTCTGTGTACTTTGTCTGACAAGCAAGCTTTCACAGACACAATAGGAGCCCACTGTGTGGCACCCAACATAGTTAAGGCTGCCTGCACAGGGCCAAAATTGAGGGGCCAATTATTGGTCAATGACTGGCAACATCTCATGGGTCCTGGGCAGGTAATATGTTGTGGGTTACTACTAATGCTCAAAGTGGGCTCCTATGGGGTCTGTGAAAGCTTGCCCCTACTAGCTCAGTGGGCCTCAGTCTGGAATAATGGTGTGGGTCAGCTACAGGATAACCTATGCAGGGCCAATATTAGATGTGTGTGTGTTTGCCCAAGCCAACACTGCCCACAGTCAGCCCACAGTGGGCTAATAGGGGCATATTTGCTAGATGGTCTTCCACTGAAGACCATCTAACAATATGATTCTTTTTTCATATATGCATAATCTGTTGAATCTCCATGTACATCTGCTGTCTGTGCTGCAGGAATCCCTCAGTTGGTTTTCATGACAAGAGTGGACAAGGTGTGCAAGATGACACAGAATGATTTGACCAAGATCTACCAAAGCAAGAAGATCAAGGAGAAAGTGAGTTATTGCTAGTTCATAGTGATATTGTGCTAGAAAAAATTCCATGGAATGTTTTAGCTGATAAAGTAATGCTACTCTGTTTTTTCCAGATGGAAGAGTGCAGCATTAGACTGGGTGTCCCTATGAACTGCATCTTCCCTCTGAAGAACTATCATGAAGAGACCAACATGAATGAGAAGCTGAACTGCCTGATGCTGGAGGCCTTCACACAGGCTGTGCACTCAGCTCATGAATATGTGAAAAATGTTTCACACAAAAAGAAAAATGTGGAATGATTCTTCCTCATATAAAACTTGTCAAACTGTACACCAGCAAGGTACAGCTAAAAGGGAGGTGTTTCTGATAAAGTGGCCAGCTCATGTATAGGCAGTCTTCAAATAGTTTTCTTCTAAATGTCCATTATTAATAGCCTTGATCAAAAATATGCATTAAATTAACTAACGCAAGCAATTTGACACCTCCACTTTTCTTTTTGTAAATTAGGCAATGACAAATAAAAAAAATCTGATTATAAAGGATATGATGTGCATTTCTTTTATCTGCCAGAATCTATTGAGTGAATTGATGTTTGTTTCATAGCTGTTCTAATGGTACAAATTCATTTTTTTATCAACTGCAAACATGTGTAAACTAGTCTTTGCACTTGGACACCCCTATAAACTTTTACGCTTCAATTTTTTGTTTTCAAATAAATAAACATTATTATAAAAATAAAACATGTTCATGGTTTTCCTCAAGTCACACATAGTATTAATTATTAAAGTAATAAGACTGATTTCATGTTAAACAGCTTGTTAAATACTGTGAAGTATTATGGTAATATAATATGTCATGGTTTCCCGAAGGCATCTAAAGCCAACTTGCAAAGTGTCTCAACTAAAAAGATCATCGAACACCTTGTTATGAGCATGCAAGTTGCTTTAGTGTTAGTCATTTAGAGAATATCATTTATATCTTGGCAAGATCTGAAAATGTGTTTGCAGTGATTAAAATTTTAGATCATGAACACAAGTGCTATTCAGTTTCATGTAGGTTTCAAGTACCTAGGAGATGTTGCATGAGAGTTTTACCATGTAAAACCAGTTTTAGGGGCATTAAGGTATGGCAAATAAACCCAACCACTTGGGTTAGAGCTCAGTCTGGTCAGATTCAGATTCAAATTGCACTCAAGTTGCACGTTGACTAAATCCAACTCGACTTGGACTTACCTGAGACACAGATATAAGGATATATACAAAGGGTAGTGCAACTACACATGAAAAGAGTGTTCAAAGTCCTGTTGAACTACATAAGAAAAACTTTACAGTTGAAGATTATTTTTTGATGACTAGCATTGGGGGGATTAAAATAAAACCTAGCTTAGCACTAAAACTAGCTCAGCAAACTAAAAACAACCACTAGTTTGAATTGAATTTAGATGACGGAAACATATTTGGAGACAAAGGAGATGAGAAGGCAGGATGTAAATGTGAGCTGGGTTTTTTATTGGTGTCCATGATGTAAATGGCAATAAAAAAAACAGAAACAAAAGAGAAGCATAACTAGAAAAAGAAATTTTAGAACAGTTCTTGTAGAACCACTTACAGTACATTTTCCATCAATCTAAATAACCATTTCACCATGCAAAGAACCATTTAAGCATGAACATATATAAGACTCAAATAAAACCATTCCCTTTACTAAACAACCCTTAAAACGAACCATCTTTTTAAAGCATGTTGGGAAGAGGGAGGACCGCCCCATGCTCACTTGGACTCCTCAGTATAAGAACAGCAGAACCAGTATGTGGCATCACTGGGGGTCAAACTTGTGATTGCCTGACAAAGGGGCCAATGCTTAGACCGCTGAGCCACCTGTAAGCCAAGGAGGCTTCCTTTAATAATTCTGATTTACCAACAGAATAGCATTATTGCAACCCTCAGGATCATATATATATATATATATATATATATATATATATATATATATATATATATATATATATATGTATTTACATATTCTCTCCTGCTTTTCTACAGTAGTTATGGATCCTTTGCAGAGCCTTAGCAAATCAAATTTCAATTTCAGATGTGTTGGGAGCACACAAAGTAACAAAGTAACTGATTACACAGCTTTTCTTGAGTTCTCTCAAGTCCCTTTTCCTAGTTCTGCATCTCAGTTTCCTCACTAGCTGGGACTCTTTCCAACATATAATCCCAACAAGCATTTTTCCTCTCAGGCTTCCAGATATGGACAGCTGTGGCATCAATGGGCTTCAAACTTACAACCTCCTGATGTTGGGGTAAATTGTTAGACAGTTGCACTGCATTTAACCAGGCTACTTTTCAAAGTTAAAACAAAAACTGTCTACAGGGTATTAATCATAAATGTTCACAAAATATGTGCAACTTCAGGTGTTCTCGTGTGGTGCAACAGACTAGGCTCTCACCCCAACAGGAGATTTGAACCCCTGTAATGCCATAGGCATCCATAAGTGAGCAAGAGGAGAATATAAAGCGTTGGATTGTGTGATGGAAAGTGTCCCAACTAGTAGAGAAATTGAGTTACAACAACAAATTCTATATTATGTACCCACTAAGATGCAGAACTGAAAAAATTTTAAGAATTTAGACTCAACTAAGATGTTTGAGTTGGATACACTCTCGCATCCTCAAGTTGAGTAAACTCATGAAAAGCTGTGTAATCAGTGACTTTATAATCTTAGATTAAGCCAAATTTTATTTTTAGCAGTGTCTACAAGTGAAAGGTGTCCATGCATTAATACATAATGAGAGAAAATTCTTCATAGTCAGCCTCAAAGCATTATTCACATTAAAATTGCATGTCTGGGTGTATGTCTGTGAAGACAAACAAAATCTGTAGAAGAGTAAGCAAGGATGATTTGCTGACCAGTGACCTCAAAGATGCTTTCAGTTTCAATTTCTCAGAAATTGGTGCTTTACCAGATATACTGTTATAGGCACCCTGTTCCCATCACCTCCATCATGCTCAGAGACTTGAAAGTGAACGTGAAATTGGCAGTATATATAGAAAAAGAGCTGCAGACACAGAGCATCAGACAGAGAAGGAGACACAGACCTCAGCATCACTTCTTGTAAAGGTAAGTTAAGCTGCTGTGTGAGATCTTAAGATTGAAGAGTTTAAACGTGAATTAATTTAACAGCACATGTACTGTGTTAGTCATGGCTAAACCTGACACACTTCCAAACCTCATAATGAGGTTTTGTGTAATTTTGCATTCATTACCAATTTTCTAATTTTTGTGTAGTTATTTTTTGCAATCATGTTTTCAACAAAAAGCAAGAAATGCAAATGTTCACTGTATGATGTGTGATGACTTGCTTGCATGTACAGCCAGAAAGGAAGTTAACCTATTCTCTAAAGCTTAAATATGCAAATTTTCTGCAAATTCTAGTGCATAATTTCTATTTATTTGCTGAGTTTTACATATTGGAAAAATATGAAACATAAAATATAAAATGCACCATAACTTTTGCACAGGCTACATTAATGTTATACTAAATATGTTAAATCTAGCAAGTAAGCAGTAAATGTGCATTAAAATGTGCAGAGCAGGATATTGCAACTTAAATCAACAAATTATAATTTGAAATTTGCATACGGCTGTAAATACTGCTTCACATTCCCCCTACAGCATTTCTACAGGGTTCTATAAGATCAGTGCTTTGACTTGGCCATTCTTCTTTAATATCTTTTCTTTCATTCATATCGTTCTTTTGTGGATTTGCTTTGTGTTTCTGTTGGCTTGTCCTTGTTGCCAACCATGAATTCTACAGTGTACCAGAAAGAACTTAAGGAGACTGTTGATAAATGTTGACAAATTAACTCATATTCTCTTTAAAGTTCTGTCTGGTACAATGTAGAATTCATGTTTGGCTACAATAATAAGCTGACAAAAGCACAGACTTAAAGCATAATGCTGCCACCACCATGCTTTACATTTAATTTTTTTATTTTTGGCCAAAGGTTTTGGTTTTTGACCAACATTATCTGTCATTGTCGCCAACAGTGTTCTTAAAATAAAAAGGGTGCCAAAAACATTCTCTAGAGTGAAGCTATACCAGAACCATTTTTGGTTTCCTATAGAACCCTTCAGTGCATGGTTCTTCAAAGGACTCAATTGAAAGGTTATTTAGGGGGGCAGCAGTCCTTATTGTATGCTAGTTTGCTAATGCTAATTAGTTTTTTATGTCAAGAAATCACAATTTCAATTATATAGTGCTTTTGCCCCCCAAAAATGTAAATAAGTGCACCCTCCTCTGAATGTATTGTTTCAAAGAGCATGTACAAAGAAGACCTTCCAGTCTGATTCCAATTCCATTTCTGTCAGTATCTTTACTTCCGGGGTTTTGTGTAATACTTGGAACAGGTATAGTTTCAATATTCAAATAATAATACATATATTTTTGTCTTTCAGAAATTCAAACATGGGATCATCAGCATTTATAAGGCAACACGACACCTACATATAGACAGTTATTCCAAGAAGCATCATTTTTCACAACACTTGCTGAGGTAAAATGATAAGACGATTGACAAACGTTGTCTTTATGACAACTGATGCTTTTTAGAATAAGCCTTTACAAATGTTTATGTAGATTTCATGGCAACTGATGTAAGCCAAAATGGACCATCCTACTTAATCTGCAATCCCACAGTAAAAACATCTTAAAAAAATGTTCTGCTAAGATGAAGATTTAAGCTAAAAGAAATTTTCTACATACAGCTTCAATCCTCAGTATCAAAGTGATACGGCTGCACACTGAAATTCATTCAAAGGTTAGGTATTCTCACCCATTTCACATGGAACCCTGACTGATGAAACTTGTAAGCTTTAATATAGTTTAGTCCAGTCCAGTAATATTAAAATATATTGTATTACTCAAATTAACTAGAACATTTATTCAAAATGACTCTAATAGTGAGTCACCATTGTTGCAGTGTGATTTCTATGTGCTTGCACTGGACCTTGCACTCAGTTCCTGTTTACTGAATGAGAAACAGCAAACATCTCTTCCAATCAGCCTTCTCAGTTGTGTCCAGGTGTTTAGCTTGCCATTCCTCAATCAATGAAGGAGGCCAATGCAACCATGTGACATCACTTTCCCAAAGTGCACTCCAAAGGCAGTTTACTAATAATATGATCTAGTCTACTTTTAATAATATGTAAAGCTAGAAGAGGGAAAATTGTGGTCAAATTTTGAGTTGACTTGACAAAGCCAGCTAGAGATGCTTAAAAAGTAAAAGCAGTCATAGCTGTTGGAACGTGTTGGGAGATGAGAAGGCAGGATGCGTGTGTGAGCTACCAGTTTTATTGTTGTCCATGGAGAAAGTAGCAAAGAAAGAACCAGAAACAAAAGAAAAGCAACATGAGGCAAGCACTAAAGAAATGAAAAGAACCACCAAAAGCAAAGAACAGAGAACACAATACATAGGAATAACTACTCAAACTAAGAATCAGTAAAAAGCACTACAAAGCAAGGAACAGATCAAACCAAGGGGAATAAATAGACAAAATAACACGTGGGAAACATGAGAGGGTGGGGCTGCAGACTAGACACAGGTGGGACAGATGACTGGGGAGAAGACAGACCAAAACAACAAAAGCGCATGGCAGATGTAAACAAAACCACATGGAACAAGACGCAGAGGGGAAGGTAATGGCAAACGAAGACAGAAACAAGGAAAGACAAAGCAGGACAAGACAGGATTTTGTAGCTGTAGACTGTTGTACAAAGATTAGTGTCAAAGTTCATGTTTATGCTGACGTGACATCCAAATAGAACAAGTTTTGTTGAAATTACATTTTCTGATGTGACAAATTTGTAAATGTTTTGCAAATGGAATCATCAAGACTTTATTTACAATAAAGCAACATGTTTTGCAAGATATACTCTGCTTTTGTCTCATTTTTGAAGTCACATGATATAAATTGCCTTGTCAACTATTCACTGCAATAATTAACCCTTTCATATGTGACAAAAAAGCACACAATAACACAAAATGGTACAACGTTTAGCTTGACAATCAGGAACGCTGCAAAGGAAGATGAAGCGAAATTCACAATAAACCTGAGGAATAAGTCTGGTAGTGCCTCATGCTCTGCCATGGTCATTGTTGGTATGTATTATTTCTGCACTCGAGTAGCTAAGGCCTTTATTCACACCCTATCAGACTGCTTACTGTAACAGACTGCTCAAATTTCACATTCAGTGTAAAAAAGTCCAAAGAAGGGGAAAAATGCTCAGATTTGACCCTAAAGAAAGATGTTTTATTTGCACATTGCTGTCATGTTGCTGTGAAACACCGTCTCCAATTTTACATACTGTGCACTGCAATGTGCTGCGACTTGTGGGTCTTACTTTCTTGAGTTTAGCTCTATTTGTATAGTAGGTGAATTTAGTAACTGATTAACTGGGGAGAAAATTGAACACAAATCTGTAAAAGGTAATAATAATAAGAAGGGGAAAAGTTTGTGAACAAACTTTAAGTTGGCTTGACAAAACTGTTGCTTAAATCCCAGGTGGTTGCTAAGGTGTTGCTAGGCCACTGTTGTTGTATCTTAGGAGGCTGCATTTACATTTTATTGCTAATTTTTGGCAACATGGAGCTGAGGTCAATTCCAGGGAGTCATAAGATGAATTTGATTACAGCTGTTATGAGGGTTTTAAAGAAAATATTATTAAACTTTTGGCATAAGTACAGAAGCTACCTGCCAAAATCTGATGCTAAATTCAAGACATTTCTGAAATGATCTTATATATATATTGTCAAGTGTAGCCATAGAAGCACATCCCACAAGATGCCTATGAAATCAAGTATTGTTTAATCAAATGTTCTTCTTGAGGTACACAGTGTTTTATTTGTTCATACAATAATACATGCATTTCTTGCAGAACTCAATGGAGTTCTGCAAGAATGGAATGGAGGACTGTCCAGTGGAAGTAAATCCACAGTCATTCTTTAACATCATATCATGTGATCAAAGATAAGCTACAGCAACTTGTTGAAAAGTCCAGCACAGGCAATGGGTTGACACAGTGCACATTTCTATATCTTGCAGTTCACATTCACTTTGCTTAAAAGAACAAATCCAAACCTCAACAAGAGAGAATAGTAATAATCATATGATGGTCAACACATTCGGAAGCCCTAAAAAGCCATGAATTTGCACATTTTATTTACTTGTTCTCAGATTATCTAAGACACTGTTGGCTCTCTGTGTCTGAAATGTGTGTTGAGCTGCTAGCAAGCAATGAGGAAAAGGGGTGAATACAGAGGTGATTTCTCACAGTGCTGAAGGAGGAGAATGCCAGTGCTGCTGCCATTGTGGGTGCTTTCATGCAAACATGTCTGGCACTTCAGTGAAGTTAACTTTAGCCAGTCTAGCCATTTTTTTAAACCCTGGACCCAGTGCTGCATGACTGAACTCAACCCAGCTATGACTGAGCAACTTGGCCTGTGTGTCCCCCTCAGTGCTGCTTTCCATGAAAAATGGGCTAAATAACCAAATTAAAAACAATAAATAAAATAAATAAAAATGCCAAACTCAAAAACAACCAATATATTTTAAACTGCATATTGAACATGCCTAAAATTATGGTTAATTACAATTAAAAACATAAAAATCGTTGTTCTTATGCATTATTGAATTATAGTTATTAAAAAATACCACGTTATATGGCCAAATTATAATTATTAATGGTGTTGTAATTTTCTCATCCACTCTGAATATTACTCTTATGCATCCAACCATATATGCCAATGAAGTAAGCTATTGAAAAGGAACCACATTTCCAAAAAAGTTGGGACACTGTGCAAAATAAAAAAAATCAAAATGCAATGATGTGCGAATCATTTAAACCCTATATTTAATTGCAAATAGTACCAACACAACATATCAAATGTTAAAGCTGAGAAATTGTATTGTTTTTTGAAAAATATATGCCCATTTTGAATTTGATTCCAGCAACATTCCAAAAAAGTTGGGACAGGGGCAACAAAAGGCTGGTAAAGTTGTGAAATGCTAAAAAAAACGCCTGGTGGTTGTTTGACAACAGGTCAGTAACATGATTGGGTGTGAACAAGTATCAGAGAGGCTGAGTCTTTCAGAAGTAAAGATGAGGAGGGGTTCACCACTCTGTGAAAGACTACATGATCAAATAGTGGAACAATTCAAAACACAAAGAAGAAACTGTTCATAAACAGGATCCAGAAATGCTGCCACCTTCTCTGGGACCTGGGCTCATTTAAAATCGAATGAGGGGAAGTGAAAAAGTGTCCTGTAGTCTGACAAATCAACATTTGAAATTCATGGAAATCATGAACACTGTGTTCTCCAGGATAAAGACCACCCAGCTTGTTATCAGTGCACAGTTCAAAAGCCAGTATTCATGATGATATAGGGGTTCAGTAGTGCACATGGTATGGGTGACATGCACATCTGTGAAGGCACCATTAATGCTGAATGATATATCCATGTTTGGCAACATATGCTGCCATCCAGATGACGTCTTTTTCAGGGAAGGACTTGCTTATTTCAGCAAAACAATGACAAACCGCATTCTGTATTACAACAGCATTGCTCTGTATTAAAAGAGTCTGGGTGCTAAACTGACCTACCTGCAGTCCAGACCTGTCACCCACTGACAACATTTGGTGCATTATGAAATAAAAAATATGACAAAGGAGACCCTGAACTGTTGAGCAGCTGAAATCCTGTATCAAACAAGAATGGAAAAATATTTCACTTTCAAAACTACAGCAGTCGGTCTGCTCACTTCCCAAATGCTTACAGGGTGTTGTTAAAAGAAGAGGTGATGAAACACAGTAGTACACATGCAGTCATCCCAACTTTTTTGGAACATGTTGTTGGTATCAAATTCAAAATGGGCATATATTTTTCAAAAAACAATAAAATTTCCCAGTTTCAACATTTGATATGTTGTCTTTGTACTATTTTAAATCAAATATTCATTCTAGGAAGGTTGAGAAATGTTCAAAAATCATCAGGTGATGCAAACAGGCGATGCGGTCATGCTAGGGTATAATAGGAGCATCCAGAAAAGGCCTTTATGAGTGAGGAGGGGTCGAAGCTCACCACTTTGCCAAAAGTTCATCAGCAAAAATCCAACAGTTTAAAAATAATGTTTCTCAGTAAATGATTGCAAAGATTTTAAGGATTTCACCCTTTACAGGGAAATGTAAAATCAAAAGATTTTTTTTTTCAGGATTTTTTTCAGAGAATCCTGAAAAATCTCTGTGCATAAAGAAAAAGGCTGAAAACCATAATTGAATTCCCATGAACATTGATCTTTGATCTCAGTCAGCACTGCATTAAAAATTGACATGTTTCTGTGATTGATATGAACCACAAGGGCTCAGGAATACTTTGACAAACTGTTGTCAATAACACCACCTGTCACTGCATCCACAAATGCAAGTTAAGGCTTTACTATGCACAGAGCAGGTCATATGTCAAAACTGTCCAGAAATGCTACAGACTTCCCTGGACTTGAGCTCATCTAAATGGACCGAAAGCCTCAGTGGAAACATGTGAAGAGCTTTGATGAGTCAAACCTTTAGATTATTTTTGGTAAAAATGCATGTTGTGTTCTCCAGGCCAAAAGAGAAAATGACCATCCAGATTGATACCAGGGTAAAACTCAAAAGACAGCATCTGTCATGGATGGGGGTGGATTAGTGGATAACTTAAACATCTGTGAAGACACCATTACTGCTGAACACATTTTGAAAAAAATATACACTGCCTACTGTACATTTCAGGCGTGTCCATGCTTATTTCAACAAGACAATGCCAAGTCACATTCAGCAGGTGTTACCACAGCAAAGTGTAATCACAAATAAGTGAAACTCCATTAAGTGTTCCTCATCAGCCTGATGGGAAAAAAACAAAAAAAAACAAACATTTGATTTAAAATATTATCAGACTTTTTTTGTGTCTGTTTCTTCTGTAGCACAATTTTGATATGTGCACAAAAACAACAGTCTGTGACTGGTCAGTTTATATGTAAGTGAAATGGCCCCTTCTTGTCAAAGTAGGTAGTTCTTGGCCATGTTTAGAAACAAAACCTACCAGTCTCTCTGATTTTTTAAATTAGAGTTTCAACCATCACTACATTTCCAAAGTATTCTGCCCAGCTCTGGTGAAAAATGCATTCTGACTTGATTACTTTTAAGATTTGACACTTGCCTGTATTGACCTGGGACTGAGGACTCACTTGTTACTTGCAACCCAATGAATTTTTCCCATCTCTGGAACTAAAAACTGATTAGGTTCTTTTTTCCTCCCAGACAAGTTCCAATGATCACAACCCTAAAGAACTTCAAAGTTAGTAATGAGGAAGTCAGAGAGCTTCTCTTCCTTCTGCTTGGACCAATTGGAGCAGGAAAATCCAGCATCATCAATACCATCAAAGGCATTTTTGAAGGGCATCAGTTCATCGACTGTCTGGCTGCATCAGATTCAACTGGCAAGAGTTTTACAACTAAGGTGAGTACACTCATGAGAAATGTCTTATTTGGTCAAAAATATATATTCCAAATTTTACTAATTTGAATTAATAAATTGGTTGTACCTGCTTAATAAGGTCAATACAGGTCAACTCATATCTTTGCGCTGCTCCGACACTTGTACACACACCTGGCCCACAGTGTCTTACTGTTACAAATTTATGTTATACGTTCTTAGAAGCTGGAAGGTTTGTGCTGCTAGAGCTGGATAACATTAACTTAGCTAAACTTACTTGAATTTGATGTGGAACAGGAAGGTACCTAAACATGAAACATTTTTGTAAGCAGTGAAGTTGGTTTCATTTTGGTTTCATTGTCACAAACTGACTGGCCACTTCATTAAGTACATACTGACCATTTAATCAGGTCTTTGTACGATTGTAAAACAGGACGAAAGGGGGCTAACCTTATACAAAATGTGTGCTGAGAAGTAAATGGACTAACAGTCTAATATTGTTGAACTATGTAGTGCACCTATGTGGTAAGTGGAGCTGATAAAATGGGCAATGAGTGTAGCGATAAGGAGGTGTACTTAATAGAGTGGTTGGTTGGTGTATAAGACTTCTGTCCTCAATAGCTTTTGAACGGTGGGTGCAAATACATTAACATCTATAAATGTTATTTGAATCCAAGAAAGTCAGGTTACACTTCTTTTTTGTCTGAAATTAATGTGGAACACATTGATTTCTGTGGACTATAACTGCTTTGAAAGCTAAGCAACCATCTACAAATTACATTGCATGTGGCAACCATTGAGGTTCAAGCCTTTTGTATCCAGTATGGGACTTCTTGGAGATAGAACACAAATGAAGGACAGAGTTTTTAGAATGTCTTCTGTTTATATGAATTTTTGTGAAAGGGAGTTACTTTTCATTTAATAATAATAATAATAATAATAATAATAAAAATAATAATGATAGATGAACCTTGGATTGAGGTGGAACAATATGGATTTCATCCTGGCTGTGGAACAATGGAGCAGCTTTTCTCCATCATGCAGATTGTTGAGGGGGCATTGGAGTTTGCCAACTCAGTCTACATGTGTTTTGAGGACTTGGAGAAGGCTTACGACCGTGTTTCCCGAGATGTCCTGTGGGAGGCCCTTGGGGAGTATTGGGGCCATTCGGTACTCCTGGAATGAGAGTTGTATCCATATACTTGGCATTAAGTCATGCTCATTCAGTGTTAGTGTTGGACTCCGCTAAGGTTGTGCCTTGTCTCCACTCCTGTTCATGATATTCATCGACAGGGTGTCAAGGCACAGCTGAGGTCAGGAGGACATTATGTGTGGAGGCCAGAGGGTGGCGTCTCTGCTGTTTGTGGATGATGTCCTTTTGGCTCCATTGCATGGATGCCTCCGGTGCTCACTGGAGTGATTTGCAGCTGAGTGTGAAGCGGTTGATATGCAGCTCTGCACCTCCAAGTCTGAGTCCATGGTCCTAGCCTGGAAAAGGTTAGCATTCCCACTCCAGGTAAGGGGAAACGACCTGCCCCAGGTGGAGGAATTTAAGTATCTTGGAATTACAAATGATCGGAAGAGGAAACTTGAGATTGGGACAGGTGGCAGCAGTACCAGGCTGTAGTGGTGAAGAAGGTGCTGAGCCATAAGGCAAAGCTCTCAGTTTATCACTTGGTCTACATTCAAACCCTTACCTATGGTCATGGGCTTTGGGTAATTAACGAAAGAATGAGACTGTGAATACAAGCAGCAGAAATGAGCTTTATTTACAGGGATGCAGGCTCAAAGTAGAGCCGCTACTCCTCCACATTGAGAGGAGCCAGTTGAGGTGGTTCAGATGTCTGCCTCCTGGCCTCTTCCTGGTGGAGGTTTACTAGGCACTGGGACGATGCCCCGAGGTCGTCCGAGGACCAGATGGAAGAATTATACCTCCATGTTGGCTGTGATCCTCTCTGGATTAAGCAGTTTAAGATGATAATAGTGGTTATTATTATTATTATTATTATTATTATTATTATTGTTATTATTATTCATTTGATTATTGTGATTTTCCAGTACCAGAAGTTCTCTATTGGAACTTTACCTTTCGCCCTCTATGATATGATGGGCCTGGAAAAAGACCAGAAAAATGGAGAGCCAGAAGGTGTGCACTCTGATCACATCATCAGTGCTTTAAAGGGCCACATATCAGACAACTATGAAGTGAGAACAACACACACACTTACACACACATACAAACAAAAAACACAACAAAATTAAATAATTAATCCTAAATGTTGTTTAGGTAAAGGCTTGTGTTGTTTTTGTTTCTTTGCTTAGTTCAAACCTAAAGTACCAATGTATGAAGACAGTAAATATTACATCAGGGATCCCACTCTGAATGATAAAATTCACTGCCTAGTGAGTGTTATTGCAGCAGACAGAGTTACCCTAATGGATGATAAAGTCATCCAGAAAATTAAGACCATCAGAGCAGAGGCCAGTAAATTAGGTGAGTTCACTCTTACATTGGTAATTTAATTCAACAAGAATAGTTTTATTTAGAGTTTTTATTGCTTATTTACTTTTAACAAATGAGTCATTCTATCATTGCTGTGGCAGATGGGTATGAGTGTTAACATCAAGTGTAAAACATAGTCCATCATACTAAACTCAAATAAAGTTGTCACACCACTGACCACAACAGCACTGACAAAATTATTAAAATCTGAGCTTTTCTGAAATAAAGTTCACTGCCACTTTACAGTAACACAACATGAATTCTGCTACATAAACTGTCATAACAGATGTCATTATGCTTATGTCACATGTGCATTTTTGCTAAATCTGCTCTAGTTTGCTGTCATGATGCCAAATGTTAAGACATCTATCATGACAATTACCTGTAATGGTAAAATTACACTTATATTATTCATCACAATCTATCATGACAATTCATGACAGCATATAACATCTGCCATTACGTATTTATGGCAAAATTTAGCAGGGCTAAAGAGAAGTGTTACCAAAGCAAACATATGGTAACACAGGATATTCTAACTCACTTGACACAAATGTCTATATAATCAAAGTGATCCAACCAACTGAAGTTAACCATTCAAAAATATTTTTAAATATTTAAATCACATTTATGCAGCAAGCAAGCTTTCACAGACCCCATAGAAGCCCACTTAGGGCATTAGTAGCAGCCCAGTAACAGGTTACCTGCCCAGTGCCCATGAGATGTTGCCAGTCATTGGCCAGTAATTGGCCCATCAATGTTGGCCCTGTGCAAACAGCATTAACTAAGTGTGGGTTTTATGTGCCACTGTCCATGTCCACAGATCAGTGGGCCACAATCTGGAATGGTAATGTGGGTCAGATACAGGATGGCCTATGCAGGGTCAATGTTAGATTTGTGTGTGTTTGCCCAAGACAACAATGCCCACAGTCAGCCCACTCAGCTGGTTTTCATGACAAGAGTGGACACGGCATGCACACTAACACAGGAGGATTTGACCAAGACCTACCAAAGCAAGAAGATCAAGGAGAAAGTGAATGTCTTCTTCCTTATCCTGGACATGGACTTCCATGGAATGTTTTAGCTGATAAAGTAATGCCACTGTGTGTTTCCAGATGGAAGAGTGCAGCACTAAACTGGGAGTCCCTATGAACTGCATCTTCCCTCTGAAGAACTATCATGAGGAGAACAAGATGAATGAGAAGCTGAACTGCCTGGTGCTGGAGGCCTTCACACAGGCTGTGTACTCAGCTAATGTATACGTGAAAAGGTTTTCATGCAAAGAGAAACATGCAGAATGACTCATCTTTATGTAAACCTTAGAAGAATAAAGAAGATCAGCATGAATATACAGGGTGAATCAGGAACCGCCCAAACATCTCTGACAGTTATAATATATTAAACTCCGGTAACACTTTCTATAAATGTCACCTTTGTAAACATCTACAAACACATTTATAACTTGTTATAATGTATTCATAAGACATTATAAATATGGTTATAAATATTTATAAAAATGAATTACACTGAATTACACTTTATAGCCATGTTTATTATACATTATGAATTGTTAATAGAATGCATTATAAATAGTGTTAATAACATGTTATAATGTCAGTGCCAAAGAAGTCAGTCCCAGCTTGGAGAGCATAAAGTAAAGACAAATACCAAGCTAACGGTGGTGTACATTAACTTTCCCACATTGGGTAAAACACTGATGGCAGCACTAGTTTAAACTCTGACATTTGAAGCCTGTAATGAGCTTTATTATGTATGTTTTAGTGTTTCAGTAAATCCTTCAGTAAATACTTCAACTTGAAGCCTCACTCTTAACACTGGAGGAGGCTTTAGTACAGTACGCTTCACTTTACTTAGAGCAGACAAATACAACTTATGAGCTCTTATAATTTGTTATGATCAGTACTTATAATGTATTATGTTAACAATTCATAATGCATAATAAACATGGCTATAATGTATAATGCATTTTTATAAATATTTATAGCTATGTTTATAATGTCTTATGAATGCATTATAACATGTTATGAATGCGTTTATAGATGTTTACAAAGGTGACATTCATAGAAAGTGTTACCTAAATTCCTTATTATTCCTATGTGTTAGAATGCAAGGTATACCTCTGATGCATGTTGCCCTTCCCCTCTAGCAACTTCCAGTAACTGGTGTACAATTAAAGACTGTAGCATCTATTTGCACACATGGACATTTTGTCAGGCTCCATCATCCCATTTATTGTTGGTCACTTTCTGACCACAAAACTGCTGTTGACTAGATGTTATTTGGGTGGTGGACCTTTCTCAGCAGTGGCATGGTAATGAGTGCAGGGCTGGTATAAGTGCTAGGTTGGGAATGGTCCAAAACCCAAAAATATCCAGCCAAGAGCAGCTTTGCAGTAACAAACTGACCATTCATGAAGGTTTACAAGGTGGCTATCCCAAAATGTGGGCTACATCTTCAGTGTCTGAATAAGGAAGAAGGGTCTAAACATTTTTACATGCTTTAGCTTTAATGTGTGTTTAATATTTGAGTGTTTAAGATTAACTGCAGATTAACTGTAGAGTAACTGTAGTTTAACTGTTTGTCTAGAAAATAAAATACAAATAATTTCATTTCATTGAAAGTCTTGAATGCTTCTTTACATGAAATGAGATCAAGTGTGTTCCAACAGCGAGCAAAACATTGTAAAATATGCACTTTTATCACATAGGAACTTTTATCTTGGGAGAACCTCTAGTACTTTTAAGTGGAAACACTTTTTGCATTATTCAAATATTTTCCTGATTTTCAACATTCAATGCTTCCCTTTGTTCCCGGTGTCTCTGCCTCCCAACCTCCACACTGCCTTTGTTAATAAACCTATTTTACTGAAGTGTGGTCTGCGCCCGTCTGAATTCTGGACACATTCAGGCTGCACAAGTGACTTTAGTGTTCATCATTTAGAGAAGAAAAAGACATGATCCAACACCAGCACATTTGTTTGCAGTGACAACTTTCAGAAGTATAGTTTAAAAATTTCATTTCTAAAAGGCATTGAGTTACTTGGTTGTTTGTTTATGTGATATTGAGTTTTTTTATGTCATTTTAGTTGTTTCATTTTATTAAATCATTTATTGTCAAGAATGCAGCTGCAGAGGACCATGCTGAGCATTTTACTGTTGATCTACTGCTACTCAAACTTTTTGGACATGCGTGCTGCACAGGAGAGCAAAATGAAAATTTTGATAATTATATTTCATTATTATTGCCATATTAATCGTTTGTTAATTGTTACGTTTTGACAGTTCAATGGAGATCAGTTTAACCTTTTGCATTTTTCAGCTTTTTTTTCTCTTTTGGTCCATTTCAGTCAGAAATGTCAGTGGCTGAAATTTTGATGCATCCCTAATTTTTATGTACCCTCAAGTCCTGCCTATACACACTGCATACAACAGAAGGTGAAAGCAGAATTAGAGTACACATACACACACATACATACATACATATATATATATATATATATATATATATATATATATATATATATATATATATATATATACAGACACACACACACACATATGTATATATATATATATATATATATATATATATATATATATATATATATATATATATATATATATAGGCAGAGAGATGCCTTTGATGAGACATTGTTTTTTGATAGTAAACATATGATAGTAAAACACTAATCTCATTGTACAGTGTTATTTAGAAAGTGAAAATGATGTTTAGTTTACATTTTCTCTTAATAAAACTCTGGGAAACGAGCCCACAATGACAAAATAGTTGTACGTTTAGGTGCCCATATTTATTTAATAATAAGCTCAATGTTAAAAGTAGTTTGATTTAGTAATGTGTCAACCTGAACAAAGTAAACACTTACACTATAAGCACTATACACAATAATTTTGATATCATGTTTGACCGTACAGCTGTGGCATTGCCACCACATTAAATGATCTGCAGTGTGTTAGTCTAATGTGTTAGCCTACTGAAGCTAAACCAGTTACACTTCAACACCTGCAACTCTAGCGTTAGGTAAGCAGAAACAAGAAAAAGCTTCAGCTTCAATTCTGAAGAAATGAATTCTTCGAAAACACTGTTCTTCACAATCCCTTCCACCATAGCCACAAACACTTGTGCTGTGTAATGTTTTGTATAGTCATTAATTAAAGACCTCAAACTACTTTTGAATTCAGGATATATTTTGTTTGCCAACTATTCCATTGTTATGTTAATGTGCTGTATGTTGTTAAGATTATTGTTAAGGACCTACTAAAGAAAGACCAAGAATCTACCTAGAATCTACCTGCTTTTATCTTCCTTATTTTTAACGCTGCTGCATGGATAAATGACAGGTTTTGTCTTCAGTTCCTTTTGATTGAAACATGGGATCATCTCCAGCAAAACCCCGTAGCTTTAAATCCAGACAGGATGTTACAACACCAAACAACAGAAACCGAAACAACCATGCTGAACATGTATTACATATATACAACCTCATTTCCAAAAAAGTTGGGACGCTGTAGAAAATGCAAATAAAAACAAAATTCAATGATGTGCAAATTTTTTGGAAAATATATGCCCATTTTGAATTTGATGCTAACAACATGTTCCAAAAAAGTTGGGACGGGGGTATTAACACCACTGTGTTTCATCACCTCCTCTTTTAACAACACTATGTAAGCGTTTTGGAACTGAGGTGACTAACTGCTGTAGTTTTAAAAGTGAAATGTTTTCCCATTTTTGTTTAATATAGGATTTTAGCTGCTCAACAGTTCGGGGTCTCCTTTGTCACATTTTTCATTTGATATTGTGCCAAACGTTTTTAATGGTGACAGGTCGGGACTGCAGACATGCCAGTTTAGCACCCGAACTCTTTTAATATAGAGCAATGCTGCTATAAAACATGCAGTTTTACAACAGACATGTGGTTTGACATTGTCTTGCTGAAATAAACAAGGCCTTCCCTGAAAAAGATGTTGTCTGGATGGGAGAATATGTTGCCAAAACATGTATATATCATTCAGCATTAATGGAGCCTTCACAGATGTGCCAGTCACCCATGCCTTGTGCACTTATGCACTCCCATACTATCACGAATGCTGGCTTTTGAACTGTGTTCTGATGGTCTTTAGCCTGGAGGATTCAGTGTCCATGATTTCCAAAAAGAAATTCAAATGTTAATTCGTTGGACCACAGAACACTTTTCTCCTTCCCTTAGTCCATTTTAGATGAGCTCAGGCCCAGAGAAGGTGGCAGGATTCCTGGATCCTGTTTATATATGGTTTATTATTTGCATTTTAGAGTTTTAATTAGCATTTGTGGATGCAGCGACTGTGTTTTCACAGACAGTGGTTTTCAGAAGTGTTCCTGAGCCCATGCAGTGATTTCCACTACAGAATCATGTCTGTTTTTAATGCAGTGCCACCTGAGGGCCCAAAAATCATGGCCAGCAAATACTGATTTTTGACCTTGTCCCTTGCATACAGCGATTTCTCCAGATTCTCTGAATCTTTTAATGTTATTTTGTACTGTGGATTAAAGTTCTTTGCTATTTCATATTGAGAAATGTTATTCTTGAATTGTTGCACTATTTGATCGTGCAGTCTTTCACAGAGTGGTGAACCCCTCCACATCTTTACTTCTGAAAGACTCAGCCTCTCTGGGATGCTCTTTTATACCCAATCATGTTACTGACCTGTTGCCAATTAACCACCAAGTGTTTTTTAAGCATTTCGCAACTGTATCAGCCTTTTGTTTCCCCAGTCCCAACTTTTTTGGAAAGTGTTGTTGGAGTCAAATTCAAAATTTAAAAAAATAAATAAATGAATAGAAATTTCACTGTTTTGACATTTGATATGTTGTCTTTGAAGCATTTTCAATGAGATATAAGGTTTAAATGATTTGCATATCATTACATTTTGTTTTTATTTACATTTTTCACAGCGTCCCAACTTTTTTGGAAATGGGGTTGTATTTATATTTTTTTGTTCCCACTCTATTTGTATAACCACCCAGTAGATCTATATATTATATCTACATTATTAACCAGATATATGTTTGACGAAAGTCAGTTAATTCTTAACAGTATTAGGATTAGGGATAGCATTAGGACCAGGGTGAGGGTAAAGTCTAGGTCAGCAAACCAAATGTTAAGAAGAACTATTTTTTCCTTTCAATAAAAATCAAACCTGTCGGGAGCCTAAAACATTTTAAGTACATTTAAATGAAGTAACGTGTTTGTTAGCATGATCAGCAAAGCTTTATTTTACTGCAAAGAAGAACTATTTCATTTTTACACACAAATTCTGCTGTGGACCCGCAACAAGGCAGTAAAAGAGCCACATGTGATCTAGGCTTTGGGTTGAGATTCAAGATAATGTTTGGCTTAGGGCCGGGTATAGGGTGAGAGAAAATCTAGGTAAGTTGAATAGATAATTAGTTGAACATAAGTTAAATGCAAGATACGCATCCACAGGGGGTTATAAACAAATACATACATGTCTCCCAATACATGATACTACCACCTGGGAGCCAGGAGATCTAGGCACATGAAACTCCACCATATCTTTTTTACCATTACTGCCCCTAACACAACTTCATGGTACTGTTCAACACATTCAACAACATGTCCTTTTTGTGAAATGTACAGAATTAATTTTCTCCATAATAATTCAGAATTCCAACAAGGGGGCACTATTAACATTTCATGATTAACAGAGAGACATTCAAGCATGAACCCACAGCAGCAAGATTTTGCTTATGGTTGCTGTCACAGATTTCAAAAAGGGACAAAAAATAATTTAGTAACTAAATGTTCAAATTTAGACTTTATTTAATATGTGGGTTTCAACTTGACTAGTTTAGCTCAGAAAAGGATAAAGGCTAATGTATAAGCAAAGGCAGTAGGCACAACAGAGGGTGCCTCAGTCCCTTTGGGCTGACTATTTTTTTCAGCAGGCAAACACAGGTAAAAACTCATTGGCTGGCTTTCCAAGGCATTATGGCAACAAGGCAATAGCCTTTGCACATATTTTAGTCCACAAGGTCCTTTGTATACAGACATTGTGATTCATTTAAATTACCTGATGGACTACAACTACTGAAAACCATAAACTAACTATCTTGAGGAGATGACTTATCAGATGGGAAATATTATTCAAAACTTTCTCTTGTTTTCGCTCAAGATTCATTTGTACTAGCAAGTGAAAAAATACTGTCACATTATACAGTCCTGGGAGAATCACACAAAATAATATTTGTGCATATTGGAAGCACAACTGACTACATGTTCCTTTGCGTTGAATTTTCTTGTGTCTAGTTCCCTCTTGAAACTACGCACAACTTGACACTAATAACTCAAAAGTTTTGTTACTGAAGGGCTTGCTTTAACAACAGCAGCAGACACAATGGCTAGATGGAGGAACAGTGCTGAAACAGATGCTTTTTCAGCTCTCAGACCGAGATGTGGTACATGAAAAGATGCCAAATCCGCCTTGATGTGACCACAAAATGTACTTGAAATCCATTATTGCTTCCCAGACTGTATTATGGACTGGAGTAGTATTACACCCCTGTAGAATGTTTTGGCGGGAGAAAACGTCATAGCTGAAGTTTCAGTTTCTCTTTTGTCTCGAGCTTGTAGACAAGTCCACTGTTTCACTGTGCCTTTTAAACTTTGGGCAGTTGGTAGGTGGTGTTATGCTCAGTTTGCATGCTTAGATCTAGTCATAGTAAACTGAATAGTAGGTGTAGACCTTTTACGAACACAAAATGCAACTGCACAAAGGCACATTTTGAATAAACAAGATATTCACTTTGTTGTACCACAAGGTTCTGTACTTGGCTCACTTTTATTTTCTTTGGAAATCTAGTTTTAACACCACTTAGTTTCCCTGTAATTATAGCCTGTAACAATGTCATCATGCTGTGCCTGATCATTTAAAGTCATAATGGGAAAGATATAAAGTAGAAATAAGTAGTTAATTAGTATTTTATAACATTTAGAGCACAACATTTCAGCAAAACTATTTTTGTTTTTTTGGCATAATAACACCCCCCCCCCAAAACTTTCTTTTTTTCCTCTTTTTCTTTGGTTTTTATGAATAATAATAAAAAAATTAAAATAAATAAAAAAAATAAATAAAAACCTACAATTGTATTTCTTCCCCTTTGTTGAACTAGCTTTTAACTAGACTCTCTTTGGCTTCTCTTATGGACAGCTGTGGCATCAATTAACTCACAATCTCCTGATATTCGGGTAAATTATTAGACAACTACACCACATGCGGCTATGCTACTTTTTAAACAACAAATATTGTCCATAATGTGTTCATCTATTATGGGCGTGAAATGTGAGCATCCTCAAGTGTTCCAACACATTCAGTTATCACCCCAACAGATGTGTGTTTAAACCCAGTAATGCCAAAGACATCTGTAAGCGAGTACCCAAAAGAAGAAAATGTCTGTTTGGATTGTGTGATGGAAAGAATCCCAGCTAGTGGGGAAATTGAGTTAAAAAAAACAATATCTATATTATTTACCTAATTAACAATGAAAAACATTAAGAGAATTTTTGACTTAACTAAGCTGTTTGAGTTGGGTAAACTCTATTGTCCTCAAATTACGTTTATGTTATAATTTTAAGTTGAGCTGACTTTTATTTTTAACAGAGTGGATGATGTCCATGCATTTCTACATAGTGGCAGTGATTTCTTTATAATGAGCCTCAAAGCATTGTTCAGATGAAGATTTAAAGTTGCACATTGTAAGTCTAGGAATTAGGTGAAACAAAAACTAAAAAAACATAGGCCTAATAGTTTCAATTTCCCAGAAGCTGCCTCTTTACAAGATATGATCTGATAAGCACCCCACCCTGTCCAGCTTTCTTCAAAAGTGAAAGTAAAATGAGCAGTTTATGTAGACAAGAGAAGCTACAGACACAGAGCATCAGACAGAGGAGGAGACACAGACCTCAGCATCACTTCTTACAAAGGTAAGTTAAAATACTGTAATCTGCTATTGGAATTATTAAGATTAAAGAGCCTAAATGTGAATTATTATGACACCTTCCAAACCTCACACTGTAGTTTTCTGCACTTATTGTCAGTTTTCTTTTTTTCTCTATTTATTCTTTGCAGTCATTTATTTATTGCTATATTTGTGTAAGAAATGTAAATGTTCACTGTATTATGTTTGATGGCTTGCTTGCATGTACTTGCATGAAACTATTTAACAATTTAGCAATTTAACTTTACAATTTAATCATTGACTTTTTTCTGCAAATTCAAGTGCACAATTTCTACTTATATACTGAGTTTCACATAGTGGAAAAAAACATAAAATAAATTATATATAAAATGAAAAAATAGATAAAATAAAATAAAATGATTCTTTTAAAAAATGTTCTTTAGGGGACCAAAAGTAATTCTTCTATGGCATCACTCCAAAGATTCATTCTGCAAGCTTGGTGGCAAATGGTTGTGCTAATTTGACATGTTGTGATGGTAAGAATTCACAGTTTCAATCTCCACAGATTTTCCCATCTCCACAAACATTTTAATATTTTAGTGCCAACTACCTAGGGGAACTACAACCTAATCGCACTGACATTTTTACAGAGGGGAGTGCCATAGGGCTAAACTGCCTGCTACGCTGCTTGTTTTCAGGCTTAGACCTTCCAGCATCAGTTTTACTACAGTTAATTACCTGACTTTTCTTTGAATAATAGTAAAAAAACTCTGTCTGTTTTCTCTGTCTATTAACATTATTTTACTCATGTACATTATTTTTATTATTTGTATTACTTCAAGGCATAGTGTTATGGACCTGATAAATTATATAACAGTATATTATGTAAAAAAATAATAAATCACTGTAAAAAGTGATTCTGCATTTTAGCCAGTTGAACTGGTGTTGCTGTGTTAACTGACCGGCCATTGCAACAAAATACAAAACTTGAATATGAACATTAAAACTTAAAATCACTTGTTTGATCAATGAAAAAAGGGTTTCCAATCAACTTTTTGAATAAGATCCATGTGCCAAGCCTCTGCTGTCAGCACTGGGTCTTTGGAACTGAAGATGAAAGACAGAGATTTTATAAAACCAGGCTGCCCGGTAATCAACTGCTGAACACCGTAGAATCTTTTAAAGGCCACCCCTTGCACTAGTTTGAAGATTATCTATGGTGCTGAAGTAAATAACTTAAATGTTAGCTTTATCTAGCTCTAACTTTTTGTGCTTTTTGTACTAAGTGTTAAATACCAGATGGCAATCATGAGCTGAAGAATTAAATTCTTAAACACTGAAATTGGTTTAACATGATCTGTGCATGTAACTTAATGCTCGTCCACTCCCATCCTACAGTAATCATCTACTCCCATCATACAGTTACTGATCTCTTCTGTTCAAGCATAACCAAAGCTCTCCTGCATTCGACAATAACCATGCTCTCTGACATCTGATGATAACCATGCTCTCACGCGTCCGACAGTAACCATGCTCTCCTGCATCTAATGGTAACCATGCTCTCACGCATCTGACAGTGACCATGCTCTCACACATCTGACAGTGACCATGCTCTCACACATCTGACAGTGACCATGCTTTACCGCATTTGACAGTAATCATGCTCTACTACATCTGATAGTAACCATGCTCTCTTGTATGTAATGGTAACCATCCTCTCCCGCATCCGACAGTAACCATGCTCTGCCACATCCTACAGTAACCATGCTCTACCACATCTGATGGTGCACAGACCAAGAAGGTGGTGCAGTAACACATGCAGTGGCCTCTCTGGGTCCACCTGATGGTGCTATTTCTGTTTTATTTATTTATGTTTCATGTTCTTTCCAATCCAAGTACATGGAATCCACTCCAACTTTTGTTTTCCACCACCAGACCCTGCTACAGATAAGGAAACAGACAAAAACCACCCTTAAAGATGACCTGTTGCAGAACCTTCGTGAGCTCAGTTTGCTAAGAGAACAAAGCTTGTGGGGGCCTGCTCGCACCCGGCAGTCCTCTGCATAAGAAATCTCCAGTGTTTTGCCCCAATGACCATCATCCCATTGCACTCACACCCATCACCATGAAGTGCTTCAAGAGGCTTGTAATGAGGCACATCAAGACCCAGCTACTTCCTTCACTGGACCCTCTGCAGTTCACATGCAGTACCCATGCTCTACTAAATCTGATGGAAACCATGCTATCTCGCATCCAACAGTAACCGTTCTCTCCGACATCCCACAGTAGCCATTCTGTCCCGCAACTAATGGTAACTATGCTCTCCCACATCTAATGGTAACCTTGCTCTCCTGCATCTGACAGCAACCATGCTCTCCCACATCTGACAGTAACCATGCTCTCCCACATCTGACAGTAACCATGCTCTCCTGCATCTAATGGTAACTATGCTCTACTGCATCTAATGGTAACCATGCTCTCCCACATCTGACAGTAACCATGCTCTCCTGCATCTAATGGTAACTATGCTCTACTGCATCTAATGGTAACCATGCTCTCCCACATCTGGCAGTAACCATGCTCTCCCACATCTGGCAGTAACCATGCTCTCCCACATCTGACAGTAACCATGCTCTCCCACATCTGACAGTAACAATGCTCTTCTACATCTGATGGTAACCATACTGTCCCACATACGACAGTAACCATGCTCTTCTGCATCCTATGGTAATCATGCTCTCCCACATCTAATGGTAACCATGCTTTCCTGCAACCAACAGTAACTATACTCTCCTGTATCTAGTGGTAACTATGCTCTCCCACATCTAATGGTAACCATGCTCTTCACTTTTTTGCTTTTTTCGAGGCATTGAGAAATGTATGTTAAAGGAAACCTGAAGTGTTTAAGAGCAACATGTCTTTATTTATTTTTTATTTTTCCAACCTGGCAAGTTTTAAGTTTTCTGTCTCTGAAACTGAATTTTTGGACTGCTGTACGTTTGTGTTCCAATCCACAGTTTGTATTTAAAATTTTCAGGCAAATATTTCATGAACTTACCTCAATCAAACACAACTTAGTAAATTGAGAAAATGAGCCATATCATGCCATCAAAGAACTTACTGCATGGTTATCAAAACTGAAAAAATAAGCTTTACCACTTATGTTTACAGTTGTCCAAACTAAATTCTTTAAACCCACAATACATGAAAAAAACAGTTGAGTAAATTAACAGATTGTTTTGTGAACAAAATCTAGCGAAGTTATATAAATGTAACGTTATTACATACGTTAACCTTTAGCACTTATTTGAGTCATAGGCAAAATTATGAAGTAATTTTTACAGGGCTTAAAGATGAATGTTGTTTCAAACAGTGTGTTAAAACAATACCTTCCATTGTAATTCCATTTCTCTATTACCATCCTTATAGTAATTATTATTATTATTATTATTATTATTATTATGTAAATAAAAACAGTGTGATGATTTGCAAATCAATCAAACCTGCATTTATTTGAAAATAGTAGAAAAATCAACAGATCAAATGTTTCATTTTTATTGTTTTTTCAGAATATATGCCAATTTTGAATTTGATGTCAGCAACATGTTTAAAAAAATTTAGAACAAGGGCATGTTTACCACTGTATTGCATCACCTCTTCTTTTTGCAACACTTTACTTTTGGGAACTGAGGAGACCAGTTGCTGTGGTTTTGAAAATTAAATGTTTTATCATTCTTGTTTTACCATTATGGCTTCTTCTTTGCATGGTAGAGTTTTAACTTGCATTTGTGGATGCAGCGATGAACTTTGTTCACAGTCATTGGTTTTTGGGAATGTTGTTAAACCGATGCAGTGATTTCCACTACAGAATCATGGCTGTTGTTTAAGCAGTGCCACCTGAGGGCACGAAAATCTTGGCCACCCAATACTGTTTTTCAGACTTATCCCTTGCATACAGAGATTTCTCTATATCTTTTACTGATATGTTGTACCATAAATGATGAAATTCCCAAGTTCTTTGCTTTTTCAAAATTAAGAAACATTATTGTTGAATTGTTGCACTATTTACCCGCACAGTCTTTCACAGAATGGTGAACCCCTCCCCATCTTTACTTCTGAAAGACTCCATCTCTCTAGGATGTTATTTTTATACCCAGTCATGCCATTGACCTGTTTCCAATCAAAAAAGATTTCTCAGTGTTAATATTTCATGTGTTAAATGTAGGGTTTAAATGATTTACACATCATTGCATTTTGTTTTTATTCACGTTTTGCACAGCATCCCAACTTTTTTGGAAACAGGCTTATTAAGTACCAAGTGTCAAGTCATTTCCAACTCCTGCCAACCACACAGAAAGTGTTTATCCAAAACTACTGTCTTCTGTTTGGCTCTTCATGCTTCTGATTGGCTGGTTCATGATTCCTCTGATTGTATACATTCAACTTGTTGTTGGCCATCCTCTTTGTCTTTTACTTTTAACTCTTCTAAGCATAATGGTCTTTTCCAAAGAAACAGTTCTTCTGAAAAACATCTAAAATAAGAATAGGGTATCAGGGCTTTGAGTAAGAGGTGAGGCTTGATTTGTTTGAGGTTTACTTTTTCACATGGGTGATATACACTCCTGGGCAAGACCAAACATTAAGCTTTTAATGATCTTAACAAATATTATTATGTAAGTAGATAAATATCCTTAATGTGAGATATTTCTCTCTTTGATTTCTTTAAATGTTGAAGTTTTGTGTGTAAATTTGCAGAAAATCTCTAACACAAAAAAGACAATATTTTCCTCTTAGCATTGATGGCTTCAAACAGTTGAAAAACACTGCCAACAGTATTTCCCTCCTTCTCATTTCAGACGTTAGCCTTCCAATAGATAATCACCAGCAGTACATTTTGTTTGCAGGGTTTTTAACTTCAGCTTGTTCATAGTCACCATCTGTACTTCCTGGGTGTTTTTGCAACACTGAGTTTTAATATATTATTCATAATACAATTATTTTTGTCTTCCAGAGATTCAAACATGGGAGGATCTTCAACAAAATCTGGTCAGTTTACATGATTTAATCCAAATAGGACAGCATTCATTAGACTACATGACACCTACCTACACCTTTCATGACAACTGACTTAAAGCTGTATAGACATTTATAAGTGCTTATCTCAACAATGTGTCACTTTTTACAATGTGTATTGAGGTTTATGTAATAATATGTAATAATATATAATTACATATATAATATAACTCCAAATGCACGTTCAGATACGCTGAATATAGATATACACTATATGGACAAAAGTATTGAGACACCGCTCCTAATTATTGAGTTCAGGTTTTTTGGCCACACCCATCACTAACAAGTGGATAAAATTAAGCACATGGCCTTGGAGTCTCCATAGACAAATACTGACAGTAAAATGGGTCGTACTGATGAGCTCAGTAGCTTTAAACATGCCGCTGTCATGGGATGCCACCTTTGCCACAAGTCAGTTTGTAAAATTTCTGTCCTGCTAGATCTGCACCTGTCAACTGTAAGTACTATTATTGTGAAACAGAAGCATCTACGAGCAACAACAGCTCAGCCACGAAGCGATATATCACGCTAACTCACAGAGTGGGGCTGCTGACTGCTGAAGCACACAGTGCCTAGTCTCTGCTGAATCACTCACTAAAGAGTTATGAATTGCCTCTGAAAGCCACAACAGCAAAAGAACTGTGCATCAGGAGCTTCACGAAATGAGTTTCCATGGCCGAGCAGTTACACACAAGCCTAAGACCAAAATGCACAGTGCAAAGCATCAGATAGAATGGTGTAAAGCACACCACCACTGCACTCTGGAATAGTGGAAACATATTCTGTGGAGTGACGAATCACACTTCTCTCTTCATATTAATGCCTATGGATTTAGAAAGGGACGTCATAAAAGCTCCTGTAAGTGTAAGGTGTAGGTGTCCCAATACTTTTGTCCATACATTGTCTGTAGATAAACATTTCCTGCTGGAAGAGTATCTTTTTCTAAGAATCTCATCTTCCTGTTTCGGAATTTCAAACAGAATTTGTCTCTGTTTTGGCTGATAAACAAGTAAAAGAAGGAGAAGATGTTACTCTTTGCTGTACGAAAAACCCAGGAGAAGTAACAGCAAAGTGGAAGAAGAATGGACATAGCTTGGAATGTGTGGAGGGCAAACATACAACAGAAAAAAGTGAAACAACATGTAGCTTGATAATCAAAAATGCAGAAAAGGCAGATGAAGGGAACTACACATTAACCCTGGAGTATAAGGCTGGTAGCGTCTCATGCTCTGCCATGGTCATTGTTGGTATGTATGAATTCTGCACTTGAGAGACTAAGGCCTTTATTCACACCCTAACCGACTGCTCAAAGTAGAAGACTGCTTAAATTTATATATATATATATATTTATATATATATTGCCTGTTTTAAATTGAAAACAGTACAAAAAGGTTTGAAATTGAATTTTCTTGCTAGTCTTCTGTTAATCAATTCTTCAGCAATGCAATCATACAAATCCTTCATTGTTTTGCATACATTTTGCAGAAATTCCAATCTAGCATCTGCACTTTCTGATGGCTGAATAGCCATACTTTTGTAATGTGTGCAGAATGTGGTTTGGTATTGTCACGTTGAAATAGGCATGGACATCCCTGAAAAAGACATAATTTAGGAGGCAGCCTATGTTGCTTCAAAATGTGTTCAGTGTAAATCTTGCACTTTCTAGTTTTACTTGAATTTTATCTAAAGTCACAACTTGAAATTGTGTTTGTGTATAAAATGGAATTATCAGTACTGCATAATAGAGGAATCTGTATAGTAATGGGGAATAACCCCAAATAATATTATTTGTTAATGACAATTTACCTTTTATTGCCAGTTCTTGGCAACATGGAGCTGAGCTCAATGAGTCATAAAATGATTTTTAATAACATTGTTAATTATTGGTTGTACCATCAGAGATTCATCATGAAGGTTTTGGAAAATATTTTTTTTTTTGGAAAATAATATTAAAACATTAATATTAATGAGAAAATATTATGAAACTTTTGGCTTTAGTACAGAAGCTAACTGCCTAAAACTAATGCTGAATTCAAAATATTTCTGAATAGATTTTGAAATATTGCTAAATGTAGCCACAGAAAAAAAATCCCATAACATTACCTGTTTACATTTAACCATGGGAATGTGTTTCTTTGCTTAAAGTTTTTCTTGGGTACATAGTTTTTTTTTGTTTTTTTTTACTTGCTTCACAATAACTCATGCATTTCTTTCAGAACTCAACGAATGGAGGACTGTCCAGTGGGAGTAAGTCCAAAGTCATTATTTAAAATGATATGATGTGAATCAAAGACAAGCAATAGCAACATGCTGGAGAGACCAGCACATGCAATTTCAGTGGGCACAGTGCTAATTTACACAGTCTGCAGTTCACATTCACTTCACTTGAAAGAAACCAAAAACAAAAACAAGAAATTATAAAAATAATCTTCTGATTGTTCACACATACAGATACCTGATGCATTCACATACTTCACATACTTGTTATCAGATTAACTAGGACACTGTGGGCTCTCCACATATGATATGCTGTTACTCTATGTTAAGCTGCTAGCGAGCAATGAGAAAAAGGGTTGAAAGGAAGGTGAGTTCTGGCAGTGCTGAAGGAGGGGAACACCAGTGCTTTCATGCAGATGTTTCGGGTGTCAGGGTGATGTTAACTTTAGCCAATGACTTGGAACAAGGGCCGCATAACTAAACACAACCCAGCTATGACTGAGCTCAACATGGCCTGCTTGTCGCTCTCAGTGCTGCTTCCCATGATAAAAAAGGTGAACTAGACAAATATAATAATGCAATTAATAAAAACAACAAAGGAATAAAAAATCAAAACTCATAAACACAAAACCAAAAAGGCCTGACAATTAATATATTTTTATTATACACCTACTGGGTAAATTTTGAACTGTAATAACAGACATACTTACAATTATGATTAATCATGACATCGTAAAAATCATTATTTTTGAATATTATTTTGATTTTTATAGGACATTTAAGAACTTTGGAAATACCAACAAATATTTGAAGTCTGTAAAATACTGTTCAAGCCAGCACGATAAATATGCTATAGTTTTACTGTTTGCACTAGCTGATATAGTAGGGTACATTGACACTAGTAGATCTAAAGCTACTTTGATTTCAACCATTAATGCTAGCTAACACAACCACAATAAAGGCTAAGGTAATATTAGAACTAATGTTCTCAGCTTCAGCCGGAGTGATGTGTATTGAGTCTACATAATCACTTTTAGCGTAGCTACTGCATATCAAACTTGTAAAATATCTTTTTTATACAGTAATGTGAAAAATTTGGTCGCACATCAAAAGCCCCTCACTTGTAGAATCTTTTTACATTAGAATGACATGTTTGTTTGGTAACGTTTTTACCAGCATTTCAAATACTGCATTTGGAATTGGGTTTGGGATGTTTCACCTTTGACTTACCATGCTAAATGCCACCTAGTCACTAGTAGAGTATAGTCACTGGATTTAAAAAAAAGTTTGGCTTTTGAGCCTATGCTGCAGTAAAGTCTCTCTAAACTGTAATACTAGCAGGCTAAGCTGCTAGCCTGCCATGTTTATTATTTCACCAAGCAACCAACGAAAATCACATCCAGTTGCACTACGTACACAAGCACATCTATTATACACCTAGACACTATGCCAGGTATTCAGCCATCACAACATTACCAAAATATTCTGCCCAGCTCTGGCAAACAATGCATTCTGACTTGATTAGGACTTCAGGTTTAAGATTTGAGACTTGTCTGTATTGACCTGGGACTGAGGACTCACTTGTTACTTGAAACACAATCAATTGTTTCCATCTCTGGAACTATAAACTGATTATTTTCTTTTTCCTCCCAGACAAGATCCAACGATCACAACCCTAAAGAACTTCAAAATTGGTAATGCAAAACTCAGAGAGCTTCGCTTTCTTCTGAACGGACCAGTTGGAGCAGGAAAATCCAGCACCATCAGCACCATCAAAAGCATTTTTGAAGGACATCAGTTCATCAACTGCCTGGCTGCTTCAGATTTAAACAGTGGCATGAGTTTTACAACTAAGGTGAGTCCACTCAGGAGAAATACACCAATCAGGCATAACATTATGGCCATCTCCTTGTTTCTACACTCATTGTCCATTTTATCAGCTCCACTTACTATATAGGAGCACTTTGTAGTTCTACAATTACAGACTGTAGTCCATCTGTTTCTCTGCATACTTTGTTAGCCCCCTTTTACCCTGTTCTTCAGTGGTCAGAACCCCCACAGGACCACCACAGAGCAGGTGTTATTTGGGTGGTGGATCATTCTCAGCACTGCAGTAACACTGACGTGGTGCTGGTGTGTTAGTGTGTGTTGTGATGGTCTGAGTGGATCAGACACAGCAGTGCTGCTGGAGTTTTTAAACACCTCAGTGTCACTGCTGGACTGAGAATAGTCCACCAACCAAAAATATCCAGCCAACAGCGTCCTGTGGGCAGCATCCTGTGACCACTGATGAGGATGACCAACACTAACTGTGCAGCGACAGATGAGCTATCGTCTCTGACTTTCCATCTACAATGTGGACTGACAAGGTAGGAGTGTCTAATAGAGTGGACAGTGAGTGGACACAGTGTTAAAAACACCACCCAAATAATGCCTGCTTTGTGGTGGTCCTGTGAGGGTCCTGACTATTGAAGAACAGAGTAAAAGCTGACAAAGTAAGTAGAGAAACAGATAGAAAAGTGAGTAAAGTTACCCCCTACAGGGGCTTGGTTGGTAAATCTGTTGCTTTTTTCACTGCTTTTTTACTGGTTTTGCTTGTCTGGTGATGATTGAATTTGATGTTTGTGAATTTATTGGCCTCTTGAGTAGAAAGTGTGGATAATCCTCAATACAGTGATCTCTTTAGAATAAATGTATAAGGTATTAGATATTCTGATACATGTGAGGTAATTATGGAGCCAAAATCAAACAGGCTGCCAATCAGACAGTCAGCAAATCTGTGTTGATAAAGTTTGCACAAGTGCATTTTTATTTATTTATTTATTTTTATTTTATTTTTTTCTTTCTATATCTTACCAGCACCAGTAGTATAGTGTTCACATTGAGCTCTCTGAGCAATTAACTGTATAAGTTAATAATAATAATAATAATAATAATAATAATAATAATAATAATATGTTTCCAGATGCCATCTTTTGATGTTGGAAGTGATTGCTCTAGGTATTTAACTTTAAAATGTTCTTTTCTTTTTCTTCTTCTTCTTCTTCTTCTTCTTCTTCTTCTTATTATTATTATTATTATTATTATCATGAATTTCCAGTACCAGAAGTTCTCTATTGGAACTTTACCATTTGCCTTCTATGATGTGATGGGCCTGGAAGAAGACAAAGAAGATGGACAATCAAAAGGGGTGCGCTCTGATGACATCATCAAGGCATTGATGGGTCACATAGCAAATGACTATGAAGTGAGAACAAAACACACACACACCCAAATGCACATGCACCCACACACACACACACAAACACACACACACACACACATACAAATGCACATCCACTAGTGTTTGAGGGGTGCTGTGTTGGCTGGCGACTCCAGCATTGGCTGACTGCTAACTCAAAATAGCAGTGCTGATGCTCACTTCCATTGCAACAAAATGTTTGTTTCAACAATTCTTCATCTGGAAATGCTCTTTTCTAGTTTGTTAATCACTTTCCCACACATTATTCTACATCTTACACATCTTACATCTACGTCTTCCATACATTAATCTTACATCTCTTCTTCTGTCTTCAGTTTGAAAAATGAGCAACAATGAACTCTTTCTACCAAACTCTTGGGAAAGTAGGCAAGTTTTCAGATTGACAAATATGCATTATTATCCCAGGCATAGTTACAATTGCTAGGCTATGAAGGACCTGTTGGTGCACCAATTTGCCACAGCGCCACCCTGAGGCAGACCAGTGTAGAATGTTTTGTTAGTTCAGAATACCAAAGACAGAAGCTCGCAGATTGTGGGTGAAGCAGGATAAACAATGGGTGTGTCTCAAAACTTAGTTAGCTCTCCACACTGACAGCGTTTTACAGCATAATATGAACGCTCCTGACAACAAGGCTGTCCCAATTCTTAGAAACCTCAAATATGCTGTCTACTAAGGAATCTCATTTTGGCCCAATAACAATAGAGCATTGGATGTTTCCTTAGCCGCTAAGGCAATCCTGCGATGCAACACGGCGGAACTTTTGTTTGAAGATGGGGGGCAAAAGCAGTTCGGCAAGCAGCAAAGTCATCTTCAAATGTAAGTTATTCTGATTTCCTGTGGTATTTTATCTGTTTTCTTGTCATAAAGGTGTACAAATAGCCCACAGTTTGCAATTTAGGTCCATCAGTGACCATTTTACAGTTTTTGGAACACCAATCCATTAGCATGCATTTTGAAGCCTTAGGCTTATTGTTTTAAATAGCCAGTTGGTTAACAAACTTGCTGGCTAATGACCAACCAGCTTAACTAGGTTTTGTCAAACGTTGACTAATGACGAGGTAGCGCGATCTAATTGTTGATCCAGTTGTGTGTGTCTTGAATGATTTGGCAGAATAACGAGGGTCAAATGGTGCTTTTCTGTAAGCTGCTAATGGTTCGATGGCTAGCTGTTTAGTTGTCCGTGTTTACATACATGAGTTGTTTCCCCTTTTTCAGGGACCAGATCAGCACTCAAAGCATTCATATAGGCTTGTATGTATAGAGAAGCTGTGTACTGGGGAGAAAAACTCTTTTTCAAATTTTATCCACAAAGGCTGTAGCTGTAGGTTTCACTGGAAATTCCTTTGGAATTGGGGCTACAGGAAAAGGTGGCGCAACATAAAGAAATACAAGGTAAGTTCCAAGGCAGAGTTTAAGATTAATATTAGATTAGTACTGTAATTGAAATATCAAGAATTTATCTATTTTGAATTTTAGATTACAGGTTTGCATTTGTTTTAGTAACTGAAGTCTCCACTGTCCAGGAGTGGGACTGACAACCATCACCAAGGATCATGCTGCCTGCTGGTAGAAAGTTCTGTGTGAAGGACCCTTCCTCATGCACTGATCCAGGAAAGCCTATAAAAATGTCCAAAAGCTTTGCCTGATGATCACATACAGCCTGCAGCTGCACAGATGGGTAGAGCTTCCAGTTTCTGTAACATTGTGCATCAGGTTCTTAACACATGGAGGTGATGTGTTAACATTGCTATCTGATCCACTTCTACCAGCACAACATGCACTAACATATCACCACCACATCAGTGTCACTGCAGTGCTGAGAATGACCCACAACCTAAATAATACCTGCTCTGTGGTGGTCTTGTAGGGGTCCTGACCATTGAAGAACAGGGTAAAAGGGGGCTAACAAAGTATGCAGAGAAACAGATGGACTACAGTCTGTAACTGTAGAACTACAAAGTGCACCTATATAGTAAGTGGAGCTGATAAAATGGACAATAAGTCTAAGGTATAAGGAAGTGAGTTTAATGAAGTGGCTGGTCCATGTGTATGTATATGAATATTTATGAAAGTCCATTGTAAATTAATTTTCAAAATAACTACTGTAATAATGTACATAGCTGTATAAATATGGACATGCCTAAGGCTCTGGATGTTGTGGGGCTGTCATGGCTGACATGCCTCTACAATATTGCATGGACCTCAGAAACAGTACCCTTGGACTGGCAGACCGGGGTGATGGTCCCTATTTTTAAGAAAGGGGACCGGAGGGTGCGTGCCAACCACCGGGGTATCACACTGCTCAGCCTCCCGGCCGTGGAACAACAGCTTTTTACCCTCTCACAGATTGTTGAGGGGGCTTTGGAGTTTGCCAACCCAGTCTACATGTGTTTTGTGGATTTGGAGAAGGCTTACAACCGTGTTCCCTGAGATATCGTGAGGGAGGCCCTCCAGGAGTATGGGGTGCCGAGGCTACTACTCCGGGCCATTCAATCTCTGTACTCCCGGAGTGAGAGTTGTGTTCGTATGCTCGGCATTAAGTTAGGCTTTTTCAGTGTTAGTAGACTCCACCAACACTTATCTCCATTCCTATTTGTGATATGAGTGTATGTTATTTGTGGAGGCTGGAGGGTGGCGTCTCTGCTGTTTGCAGATAATGTGAAGTGGTTGGTATGTGGATCAGAACCTCCAAGTCTGAGTCCATGGTCCTAGCCTGGAAAAGGATAGCGTGCCCACTCCAGGTAGGGGGAAACGACCTGTCCCAGGTGGAGGCGTTTAAGTATCTCGGGCTCTTGTACACGAGTGATGGGAAGAGGGATCGTGAGATCGGCCGCAGGTCACTGTACCGGATTGTAGTGGTGAAGAGGGAGCTGAGCCATAAGGCAAAGCTCTTTGTTTACCAGTCAGTCTACATCCAAACCCTCACCTATGGTCATGAGCTGTGGGTAAGTCTATGCAGGGTGGCGGGCTACACTCTACTTGATAGGGTGAGGAGCTCGGTCATCCGGGAGGAGCTCGGAGTAGAGCCGCTACTCCTTCGCATTGAGAGGAGTCAGTTGAGGTAGTTCGGGCATCAGATCCGGATGTCCCCTGGACACCTCCTGGTGGGGGTGTACCAGGCACGGCCTACTGGGATGAGAGACCAGATTTGCCCTAGAACCCGCTGCAGAGATTATATCTCCCCTGGAATGAGCCGGAGGAAGTTGCGGGGGACAGGGTCATCTGGGATTCTCTGCTCTCCCAACTGCTACCGTGACCCTATCTGGATTAAGCAGTTAATGATGATCATGATGATGATGATGATGATGATGATGATGATGATTGCTAATGAATGACTGTATTTAACTGTATGTTTGTTTATTAAATTGTGTAGTTGTGTATATCATCGTTCTGTTTGTTAATGCAAGTTATCTGCTGTTGTGTGTGTTGTATGGCTTTAATTTGATGTGCGTATTGATGTGTATGTCTTATTTAAATATCCAAAATAAACTGGCAGCTAGGAGATTAATGAACCTTGTATGATGTGGAGAAAGGGTTTACTGTTGACCCCTCAGAGTGCTTAGAGGAAAGTTTACATTTAACTGTTCAAGAGCAGCAAATAGCGCTCAAATTCTTAACTTTGACCACAACTGTTGTCTAATTTATTTAATTTAGAGCAAATGCAATTAAAATCGCTATATAAACCGCCAAAGCAGGATCCATGGTGGTAATACTCTGAGGTGATTCTGAAGGCTGAGGTATGTAAACGCCAGTCTCGTGTAGTGGGCGGGAACAAACAGTGATGTCATTGCTGTCTAACTAGAGCATCTCATTTGTCTGTCTTATAAGGACAGATGATGGTTGGAACGCTTAGACAACTGCCATGTAGACAGTGGCTCCTAAGAGAGCTCACTAGGTTTTGAGACACACCCAAAATCTTTCTCTGAATTTGTATTGAGTGTCTATTTTTCCCCTAATGGACAGAATAATAGCATAATAAGTTTAGTTTCAGGGACCCCCCCAGAAGTTTTATTTTGAGAAATTCAGAGGGACAAAGAGGTTAATTAGGTAGTCCTGGACCCCTTAGGACCCCTTGTATTTCACACACACACACACACACACACACACACACACACACACACACACACAAAATCCTATATTTGTCATGTTACTTATGTAAAAACTTGTTTTTTTTCTTTTGTGTTTAGTTCAAACAAGAATGCTCAATATGTGAAGACAGTAAATATTACATCAGTGATCCCACTCTGAAAGATAAGATTCATTGTCTAGTGAGTGTTATTGCAGCAGACAAAGTTACCCTAATGGATGATAAAGTCATCCAGAAAATGAAGACCATCAGAGCAGAAGCCAGTAAATTAGGTGAGTTAACTTTTATATCTGTTATTTGATTCAGGTAGTTAGAGCAAGTGAAGAAGATGTGAAATATAAAAAATGAAATGTACACCAAAATTGTTGTTTAGGGTTTTTAATTGCTTATTTACATTTAAAAACTGAGTCATTCTATCATTGCAGTGGGGAACACAGGGGGAATATGTTGAACATCAGTAAAGTTTTCACACCGCCGGCCACAACACCACTGACAAAATGACTAAAATCTGAGCTTTTCTAAAATATAGTTCATATTGTATTTAGAAAGTTATACATAATTCATTGATATTATTATTCAGCGTTTCAAGTTTAAAATCACTTAATATATCATGATAGATGAAGCTTTCAGTATTTCAGTCAAATTTAGCAGATATATAAAAAGTCATGGTAACACAATTTGAATTCTGCTATATAACATTGACATATTCATGGCATAAACATGTACTGGAGAAGGTCATATGCTGTCATAAATTGTCATGGCTGATGTCATAATCATGTTGTGTCATGACAGCTTATGTCACATTAATTTTTACTATGTCTGCTCTAGTTTGCTGTTATGACATCAGTTTTCACATCACCACAGATTACTGGCCAGTAATTGGCCCCTCAGGCAGAATTGGTTTTGTAAGTCTTTTGTGGCTTTTAAGTTGCTTTGCCCAAGTCCACAGCCCAATGGGCTACATTGTGGAATGATGGTTTTATGAGTTTTTGCGTAAAACTCATAACAAAAATATGAAAGTTCTTTCTCACATATGCATGACCTGTTAGATCTCCATGTATCTCTGCTGTCTGTGCAGGAATCCCTCAGTTGGTTTTCATGACAAGAGTGGACAAGGTGTGCACAGTGACAGAGAAGGATTTGACCAAGATCTACCAAAGCAAGAAGATCAAAGAGAAAGTGAGTTTACTTTGCTTGTCGGTGCTGATATTTCTTTTTGCTTTTCCTAGAAAAAAAAACATGGACTTCCATAGAATGTTTTAACTGATTAAGTACTGTTACTGTGTGTTTCCAGATGGAAGAGTGCAGCACTAGACTGGGAGTCCCTATGAACTGCATCTTCCCTCTGAAGAACTATCATGAGGAGATCAAGATGAATGAGAAGCTGAACTGCCTGGTGCTGGAGGCCTTCACACAGGCTGTGTATTCAGCTAATGACTATGTGAAAAAGTTCTCACGCAAAGAGAAATGTCTAGAATGCTTCATCTTCATATAAAAGCTATATGAAGAAGTTCAGCGTGGATATAGATGGTGAGTCAGGAATCACCCACATATCTCTAACACAATTACTAATATATTGATCTCATTTTAATGATTATATTTTAGCATAGGGGGTGTACCTCTGAGGCATGTTGCCCTTCCCCTCTAGCAACTTCCAGTAACTGGTGTGCAATTTAAGGCTGTAGCATCTATATGCATGGACATATTGTCAGGCTCCATTACCCCATTCATTATTGGTCACTTTCTGACCACAAAACCGCTGTTGACTAGATGTTATTTGGGTGGTGGACCATTCTCAGCAGTGCCATGGTACTGTGTGCAGCGTTGGTGTAAGTGCTAAGTTGAGAGTGGTCCAAAACCCAAAAATATGCAGCCAAGAGCAGCTCTGTGGTAACAAACTGACCATTCATGAAGGTCTAGATGGTGGCTAACCCAAACTGTGGGCTCCATCTTTAGTGTCTTTTCTGTACAATAGCAGGGCAGAGCTACAAGGAGGGTTTTTTAGTAGTTTACAATAAAATTTTGTTTTGATGCCCTGTCTGGGATGTTATAAACTGTTTATTGCTTGAACGATCTGCTGTATTATATGTGTATGTATTTATGTGTAACACTGTTCAGAATTATACGTTATACAACAATATTATAATATGTATGTCATCTGTGTGATCTGCGTATGTTTAATGTGAGCTGTATCTAGGAGGACAATGCGAGGATATTGTGAACAGTTATTCAGTTATGTGAACCTATTATGTGTAGGTTAAGAACAGCTATTGTTTCTGTACCTTATTTGGCAATGGTCCAGGCAACAATGTGCCTGAACCAGCCTATATAAACGCCCTTTTTCTATGTTCAGTGGGTCAGCATGATGTCTGTGAACTGTGCAAAATAAATAAATAAAGATCAATACTATAGTTGCAAGGCTGGTCTCCTGGTCCTGGTTCTGATTTTGAATGAGGGGTCTAAAAATTCTGCATGCTTTAGCTTTAACCTATGTTTAATATTGGTTGTATTAAGATTAACTGTAGTTCAGGAAAATAAAACAAAAATAGTTTAATTTTATTGAAAGTCTTGAATTCTTCTTTACATGAGCTGAGGTAAAGTGTGTTCTTACTGCATGCAAAACATTGTACAATATGCACTTTTATCACATACAGTTTTTTGCATTTTTAAAATATTTTACTGATTTTCAACATTCAATGACAGCACAAGCTGAAACTGCATGTATTTCCACATCTCTTCATTGTGAATGAGTTCCATGCATTTTATCCTATTGAATCAACTGTATGAAGAGTTTAGTAAACATAAAAGCTACCTAATGGAAGATACCTGCACATGGTTTTCAAAATGCATGCATAAGCATTGAATAACATGCTTATAAATACTTGAGTATTTATGAACAGATTATTCCAGTAATGGCAAGATGATATAAGATGTTTTATAAAATAAAAGGCATTTGAATTGATATAATATTAACACACATTAGTATTAGTAACAAACATTTGTTTCATTTATATCATGGTTATAAAGCATCATTCTCAAGTAATGGAACTTATAAAGGCAGAAGCCTAGTTTCCATACCATACATCAGTTCTGTATATTTCTATTTGATTTAAATTACAAAAGAACAATTGGTAACAGTGAATAATAACAGACCTTAATAAACCAAAACAACCCTTAGCTAATATTTTGTTAATTGATGATAAATAATTATACAATAAGTAAAGATAGAATTATATAAATGATATCATATTATATTGTTTATGTATACCATTAAAGAATTGTACTATTTGGATTATTAACAATTTTCTGGCATACAAATAATCAGTAATTATTTTGAATTGTAGAAATCATAGCGTATGAATTACGATTTGTAATAATAAATTAGCTGTTTATATTCACTAATTGTAACTACAAAATTATAACTTTAAAATCATAGATCAACAAACAGCATCAAATGAGCTTTTATTTAGTCTCATAACAATAACAATAACTTTCATGAATGTCCTGTTGTTATTTACTATGTTGCTACTTTGTGATGCATAAACATTTCTTCAATGGCAAATGAATGGTTAATGTGTACTTTTATAAATGCTAATAATCATTAATTCAGACCCTGTTATAAAAGTGCTACTGTATTATGTATTTATAAGGATGTATTGTATTATTTGGTACTTTCAAAATAATACATTTCTGAAAGAAACTTCCATAGTGCTTTCAGTTTTTGTATGCAACCAAGTAAACGGTCAATAATTTAAATGGTAGCACTGATGACTACAAGTAATAATTATATAGTCATTATCTATCAGTAACAAATTGTTTACTCAGCCACTGCCTTATAAGTTGATGCTTTATAACATTGTAATAAATGGAACATGAGCGCAAAATATTCAGTGCTTATTTATGTGTTATGTAGTCCTTATGTAGGGAACGTTCAATTATAGTTTTATAAAGATTTTCAATATTTACCAAATAATTTATAAGAGACTAATAAAGCATTATGCAAATTACTTTGTTGAGTTTGTTCACTTGATTTATATAAGCTGAACAAAATAATAAATACATATGTTCAAGTCTTTTGGAAACAATGAGAAGAGCTTTCCTTAATGCTGTACCAAAATGAAAATTTCTGACTGCGCAAGTCACTTCAGTGTGCATCATTTAGAGAAAAAAACAGCCATTAACAAACACCAGCAGGATCTAACAGACACATTTGTTTGCAGTGACAACTTTTAGAACTATAGGTTAAAAACCTAATTTCCAAAAGACAAAGAGATACTGTTTGCTTATGTGATATATATATATATATATATATATATATATATATATATATATATAGATGTAAAGAGAATGTTTTTGATCATTTTTTCTCATTTGCATTGCCATTCTTCTGTTGTGTGAATGCACATTAACAATATATTTGTTTGACTTACATATGGTAAAATATGCTCATTGTGACATGCAAATATTGAGACACCTTCCAGTTGTAAAGCCCAAGGTGTATAAACTTGATGTGAATATGTGCACTAAAAGTAGATTGAATAACAACACAATAGTGTCTGAACTTCTTTCCCCTCACAGTAAATATTTAGTAACTGCTAAACTCAATGCAAAAACTAGAAACAGGACATTTCCTGAAAAAATGCAGAGTGACTGCAAAGGTGTTAATAAGTGGTTGCTGTGGTATCCCCGGTGGTTGTCAAGGTGTTGCCAGATGGTTGCTATGGTATCCCAGGTGGTTGCTAGGGTGTTGCTAATGGATTGTATTGACATGACAAGTTGGGCGCACAAACTTTTGCACCCCATTCATTCCTATGGGAAAAAAAAAAAAATGTTATTTAACGATGATTGTATGAAAAACATACATGCAATTAAAAAAGATTTATACGAGCACACCATTCCCAATCAGACGGAATATTCCAGAGTTAGAACAGTGTCAATATCTTGAAAACTGTGAGACAGGTTACTGGACACATATCTGACAGAAAGAAAACAAGAAGAAGAAGAAGAAGAATATACCATCGGTCAACAATGCTGCTGCACAATACTGGACAATGCATTGCAATGTGCCATCACTAACTAGTTTGACTGGTGCAGTCCATTTTGATTTGGTCATTTGTAAACCTCAGCAGACATTTAAACTCATGTACAGCTGGTGCAACTTGCCACTGAGGAGTGGCATTCCAAAGTCTGTGTGGCCCAGCACTAAATGATCTGTAATAAACCTGCTAAACCTGCTACAGTTCCATATCTGATACTGCAGCATGACATAAGCAGAAACTAGACAACAGCCACAGAATGCAACAGACAATGGAGGGAAGCATGCTAACACAGACGTTAGAGACGCTTTCAGTCCCAGTCAATTCCTAAGAAATTATTTCTTCACAAACACAGTGCATTGTAAACAATTCCTTCCTGCATAACTACAAATATTTATTTTGCTTTGTACGATTTTGTGTTAAACTATGCAAATAAAGAGAAATTCTGTATTAAAAGCTGTGGAAATATGTTGTATTTGGTCTCATCCATTGGAAATCAAAATATGATTCTTTTCGTCTGTTACTTCCTAATCATTTTGGTGGTCATTCAGATGGTCAGGCCATCTTTTCAGATCCTGAAGTCCTAACCAAATGGAAGGATTTGCTTGGCTTGACTTGACAGTTTTACACTCAGCATTTCAATATATTTAACCCAAATAAAACTTTACAATACATGTAGAGTTTGAAAAATTATATGAACTAAATATTCGACATAACTTTCAGTCCACAGAAATCATTAGACCATCTCTCTAACCTGAGTATGATATTTTTCTGCAATTATTTGTGCAGTTTTCATTTCTTTGATGATTCTAACATATTGGAAAAAATAATCACAGGCCAAGATATATATTTTATTGTTTTTTCCAATGTGTTAAATTCAGTAAATAAGCAGTAATAGTGCATTAAAACATGCAGTAGTGTATATCTGTGGACATATTACCTTATTTACACACAGAAAATCAACAAAATATGTAATTTGGCCAGAGGTTCCGAAACATCTGCATACAATTGTATCTTAATATTTAAGATGAAATGTAGCACATAATCAATTGATCAGTGAAGTCCAGCCTCCATTGACTACGCAAGAATGACTGATGTCCATGCATTTCTATGCAGTGAGAGAGAATTCTTCATAGAGAGCTTCAAAGCACTGTTTACTACAATTAAGTTGCACATCTTAAGTTTGGTGTAAATCTGTATTAACTGTGTTGAACAAAAACAAAAGAATGAAAAAACATTAACACCCCATTCCCCTCCCCTTCATTCTCCTCCCAGAGTTAAAAGTGAAACTATAATGACAGTTTGTATATATAGACAGCAAGAGCTTCACACCCAAAATATCACAGAGAAAGAGACACAGACCTCAGGTAAGTTAAGCTGCTGTTGGAGATCTTAAGATTAAAGAGTTCAAATGTGAGTTACTATAACAGCATACTTACTGTGTTAGTCATGGCTAAACCTGCCACACTTCCAAACCTCATAATGTAGTTTTAGGTAATTCTGCATTCATCATCAATGTTCTAATTTTTTGTGGATTTACTTTGTGTTATGCATTATTGTTTCATCTAATTATGATTCAGTTGTTTTGACAAATGACCTTCTCTGTTCTGTCTGGTACAACATAGGATTCATGGTTGGCTACAAAGTCAAGCGGGCAGAAACACAGTCTCAAAGCATAATGCTGCCACCACCATACTTTACATTTCGTGACTATTATTAATCTTTTTTCTGTTTTTTGTCAGAATGTTATATGAAATCTAACATGTTTGTCCACAAAAAAGAAACAAAAAGGTACAGTGGTGAAAGCATTATGGCTTCAGGCTATGTTTCTGCTTCAAGGCCAGGCCAGCTTGCAACCTTGTCATCGTAGTCAACAACGG